GGGCGTAATCGAGGAACCCAAAGGTGTAGTGTGATGCGTGACCATCTACGAGGAGGAGGCGACGTCTCCCTGCAGCTTTCTCCTTCGTGTGCTTGTCGAAGTGTTTGATCCACTCAATCCCGATCTCGCCATCTACATAGCCCTTTGGCGAATGACCAAGGCTTTGCTGTGTTAGCATGGCATAGAAAAATGATAGTTATCTCACTTACACGGCCTTGAGCGGGTTGTTCTGCTTCCACTTCGTGTGAAAGGCCTGTCCCTTGAAGATTACGGCAGGCGGAATCGAGGTACCATCGGCGCAGATCGTAACAACGACAGTGATGTTCTCTCGCTCACCACTGCGTTGTTGGTACTGGACCTTCTGTCCGGCAGGTCCGAGTACTCTCTCCTTCAAGCCGACACCCTCCTGGATCCCAGTCTCGTCCATACCGTAGATACAGTCTGGGCTGATCTCCTCCTCACCCTCCTCGCCCTTGATTGTCTTTTCAAGGAGATCGAAGTATGCTTTATGAGTGTGGGGATTGACTGCACGTGCGCGGGAGCTATCGAGAGAATGGGACCAGTACGGCTTCAGTTTCTCTGAATGGCGCTCAACGAACCGCGTTGTCCATTCCTGACCCACGCCATCTTCAGGGAAGCCTGATGCTTCTCGCGCCCAACATATCCGGTTGACATGCTCCCGCAAACGTCGGTGATTGAGCGGGAACCCTCGGAGCGCGGCGTTGATAGCGAAGTCGATGACTTCCTCCTCCTCATCCGCCTGTAGCCACCTCTTCTCTGCGTTGAAGTCTCGGATGCTGGGCTTGCCGCTGGCTCGATTAGAGACGGAGCTTTTTGGCAGCTTGATGGACGTTCCGGTCTTCTTGTAGCACTCCTTCTCCACTTCCTTGCAGATTGCTCTCACGCCCTTCAGCTTCTTCTTCCCAGACTGTTGCTCTTCTGTGTACCGGTTGGCTGCGATGGTGACCCATTCTTCCTGAAATTCGGCATCGATCTGAGCCTTCTTTGTCTTGGATAGTGCGCGACGACCAGGCATGGTGGATGGTGAAGTAGGGCAATGATATCTGATTAATCGGTCTACGCTGCTAGAGCGCTTGTCCAGTCCGAGCGGACGTTCAGTACGGCCAAACCAGATTAAGAAGGCGTGACTGAGCGCTTACTTCGGCAAATGTCTCCTCGAGTCGCTCGTAAGATCGCGACATCGGTGAGCACATTTTGAGCCCGATAAGCATATAAATTCCAGCGGTGTCATTTGAGGATACCACTTGACATATCTTGTCAATCTGGAGAGACGGCAGCAGCGACTTCGCTTATGAAAGCCAAAACAACCCAAAAATGGCAGATCTCAGGTGAAGATGACAACTTATATTATTGTGCAGACAACGGGGAGACACGAAAATCAAGATCTAGTGTATTATATGCTGTAGGATGACATTGAGATACATGGAATTGAAGAGGAAGTCAAGGGGAGCGCAGGATTGAGGGAGCGTCCGAGGGACCCATGGGTGTCCGAAGGACCGGTTAAAGACTGTAGACAAAGAACGGAGAGTTTTCCAATCAAGGAGAGGGCCGGCAGGACGTCGGTGGCAGAGAAGGAATGATGCTAAAAGGACGAGTGCAGATGAGGCGTCATGCACGGCGGTCGAGATCACCAGAGACTCGACAAGCCTCGCTCAGGTTCCCAATTTGGCACGCTTGTGATTCTCGCCCAGCTGACGTGAGCCGCTACTTTGGGACATCAGTACCCACTCTGTCACTCAACGCCAGCACAATATGTAAGTCTCGCACTATGAGCCTTGAGGCCTGTGCCGCGCGTGCCCCTTCAAAGCACAATCAAGCAGCATCATGTCCTCCCGAAGGCTACTAGCAGAGGTTTTTCGCAACCGGGGCCTACAACTGGGGCTCACAACCGGATTAGATCTACCGAAGCTCTGCACTGGCGTTGTCAGTGGTTCAGTAAATGAGCTCTCAACCACGCTACATTGCACTGGCTTTCCAGGTGACGAACCATGCTTGGGAAGTGCTGACAATGGGGACTACCAAACCACCACTCTTGAAACGCCTGCTGAACGCGGACATGAAGTTCCTCGAGGGGCACTCGCTCTTCTGCCAGGCACGAAGGTCACGGGGTGTGCGTATGAGGTCCAGAGGGGCAAGGTGCGTTCGTGGTTTGGACTACGACGCCTTGGGGCTGTCGTGTCTGCATCGCATGGTAGCGGGGCGGCTGCCGAGTGCGAGATCTGTCACATCAATAGCCTCGACAGGACTAGAGAACATACCTCTCTATCCTTCCGGCGCCGCGCTGACCCCGTGTTCGTTCACATATAAGACAGAATTTTAAACGTATCCTCTCGGTGGAATCGAACGATATTCGATCGAGTGTGAGTCCAGTCGCTCAATTCTGAAGAGACTTTACTCAGTCCGAGAACTTACAGCACACTGTGCAATTCGTGGTGTCTATGCCGTTATCGTAGTTGAGATCCAAGAATCTGGGCTCGGTGCCAGCAGTTATACTTGAACATGTGATTGGTCGTTTGTCTTGTCCTCAAAAGCTCAGTCTAAACGATACGAGTCCAATAGTTTCCTTGTGATTCACTTTTTTTGTACTGTAAGGCAGGAACACAGTGGACTCGGGCTTTTCTCTTTTCTGCTATCCCGACTGACATCGGCCTCGTAGACACCTCCACAAACAACCTGGCGTACATCACCGCCTCGACCCGTCCAGCCCTGCTACAATCCCCAACCAGCCCTCGGCCCCGGCCGAAGGCCTGAGGGCTGGTTGGAAATGTGCGCACGACTCGGACATAACCTCGGTACCAGACTCCAAATCAATGGGACTGGCGAGCGGCGCCACGGCTAGCGTACTGCGCAAAGCGACCACGAGCTGAGAGCTAGCGTCAGCCATCGAAGTCGCTGGAACGGGATAGCGATGAGGGCGCTCACCGAATGCATCCCTCTAGGCGCTGCCGCGACGTCTCGCGGCATCTGGGCTCCATGCCCGGAGGGATGAACACTGTTGCTCGAGAACGCCATGGACGCGTCTTCATGCCGTCCTTGCAATTTGCTGAGGACGTGCATATATGGCGTCGTACGTGCCGTTTTGTTGCCGAATTGGCCCTCTGCAGCTGCGGTCAGCTCACTAGCCTGATACGACCGAAGGCGAGGCAGTTCAGGACTCACCTTGATGTCCCTCCCCCAGGAAGGTCAACATCTCGAGGGCATGTAGGCGAGGTGATCCGTTCTAGCTGACCAGGAGTCGGCGGCGAATATTCCGGAGCAGGTTATCGTAATTAAGGAGGTGAAAGCGAGTTCGAAGGCGGGCGGGGACCGCCGGGCACGAATGCCCCGTCCCCGGTTCGATGATGAGTCGGGAGGACGAGTTGGATGAAACAGGAACAGAGGCATCGGAGACTATGGTGGATGTTGCTGAGAGTGAGAGATTGCTAGGCAGAAGAAGAGATATGCTGCGTTCATATATGACTGCTGGTGATCGATGCCGGATTGATGGTATGCTTTGTGGGGAGGCTCGATGGTGGTGGTTCGTGATGAGGAGTGATGGCCGTCCTGCACTACCCTTTATACCTTTGCGCACGGTGGCTGGCGAACCGCTGCTCGGTTCAGGACGAATGTCAACCACCATTCGATCACCGGCAGACTGAGCTGCCGGGCGTTCCTTCACGGGGGGCTGGGTTAGTCGCGTGCATTATGCCTTCACCGGAAGGTGATGTGGTTGTGTTTCTTGTGATCGCACCCTCCAACAACAGGCAGGTGAGGTAGGTTGGTTGAATGTGCCACACCTGGAATTGTTTCCCGGCCGCGGCTGGTCTAGACTGATGAACCTCTCGATTGTCACCCTTGCAGGCTCACAAACCAGTGTTAGGCGTGACGATTGCCGGTGTCTGGGACCAGACTGTCGGGAGGCTTACCGCTGCATTCGCTCGTCGAGAGGAGTGTGGATGGTTGTTGAACTTGCAGACAAACATCATTCACACATAACTCGCATTGCGACCATCCAGTGAAGTTCTTTGTATATTCGGGTACAATAGTACAACAACATATCCCATGCGTCTGGACATCTCGTTTGGCGCATCTCCCCATCTCTCTGTCGCGAGTTTCCAACAGGATGCTTGGCGTAGTGACTGCAGAAGGATGGGAGGTCCTCTGAGGATGGGATCGGGGAGCGTCCACGACCATCGGTGCGACCATGATGCCCTCCCAGCGGAGAGGAATTGTCCAAGCAACTGTACAATGGAGCCTCAGATATTACTTCTCACAGGTGTGCGAATCATCAGCTCACGGAGTGTTTCGGGGGAGAGAAGAAGCAGCCGCCATCGTCTCCGTAGGCCGAAGGGGCAGATGAGACAAGGGGGAGCCACCGCCCAAGTCCGTCAGCCCCACCTGACATACAACCCCAAGACTCCGTGGCACCGGAAGTGCTAGAGGAGATACGCCAGGGACCATGGAGAACGATTTGGTCGGTGACTGCAATATTTCCCGCGAGTGACGGGCGACTGAGAAAACAGCCTTTGAACCGTCAAGGGAATCAGGTCGAGGCAAAAGGACAAGGATATGAACCCATGCTCACCGAGTGAACATCCTTTGCCGTCACTCATGAGAGATTTCGGCAGTTAAAATGCCCGGATGCGGCGACATTCTCGACTCGGGTGTGAGGCAGGAGTGACCTAATGACTGGACACTAATCCTTGCCGATAGACGGAGTAGTAGTAGCAGGGATGAGGCCCAACGTTTGCGTGGATGAGGATAGAGGGGGGACATCCCAACCCGCATACGAAGTCGAGATGATGAGGATAACCCACGGAGGTGCGGAGAAGATGGCGGTTGGGGGTGGAGGAGGAGTTGCGGTGCTGTGCGGGTTCTGAAACCATTGGCAGGGCTGGCTGACGGATGTGATGCCGGGCTGACCTTCACGGAGTTTGGGTCGTCAGCCGCGTGAAGATGATTCTAGTCGACGTTTGTGTGTGTTGTTCGGGGGATAGGCTGACGGAGTATGCCCGCGGCTAGCAGTTGCGCTGGCGGGCTACTATGCACGAATGTCGACTTGTCAGCCTCGTGAAGTTGAGTCTAGTCCGGCACACAGGGGGTTTACAAGGTCTGCCTGCGATCGTTTCCCTCCTGTGTCTTGGAGAGCCGAGGTGTGGCAGGTGCACCTCATCCCACGTGAATCTATAGACAGAGACGGGCTCGACTTGCTAGAAAGGCTACGACGTCTGCAAGAACCGTGTTCGCGATGAGGGAGATGACATGTGATCCAGAACAAGGACAAACCTGTGGCCAACGATCGCTCTGTGCATCTATGGAGGATCCGCACAGTGGGTACGTAGTAACACTCAGACATAGTCGCCGAGACCCAGGATAGATTGTTCGTACCTTTATATTGAAGGGACTGATAGGATGTCAAGTCCACCCTACGATATGTTGATCGGGTAGTCCTACAGGCGTCAGCGCAGTAGTATGGAGAGAAGACGTGTCAACGTCTCCCGTCGCGACGCACGTGCTCGCGTCGCCGGCACAGACTTTCGACTCACGCCTGGCATTCGATATTCAAAATTGATCCGATAAGAGCGGCGAGCGCACCCTTGCCCAGGTCCACCCTCTTGTCTCCTTCGACTGCCATCTCACAGATAGGCCCTCGCCCGCCGCCATCTCGCGACCTCCCAAAGCTATGGCAGCCACCTTGGAGCCCAAGGACGACTCGAAGACTCATCTCAAGCGTATTTCACTAGATACCGCTACGGGCACTACCCGGCTGGTCCTCAAGTGCGCGGCGGGATGAGCGGCGGGCACAAATCGAGCACCCCTACTGTCGCTTTTCGTTCGCCACGAGTGCTGCATGACCAGGCTTGTTGAGGTGATTGAACACTCGCTCTGGGTCCCGGTTTGACTCTTGCTATGGCAACGTGCTGCCGGTGGCAGACAATTAAAGCAGCGTCCCAGCAGCGTCTCAGCCGGAGGTGCGCATGCATCCACCGTAAGTCGGTCTACGTTCTGCGTCCTGAGCCTGTCGACGAATTTTTGCAGGCTTGCCGCGGTATACAGCCGTGCGTTTACCAGTGAAGCCACCTATTGGGCACTCGCCTTACTTCCTATCACATCACCGCCCGCTCAAACCTCCAAGAGCCAGGGTCTTGCACAAGCGGGGCGCACTGGGATGACCCTGAAGTAACGTACGAATGTCGAGGTGTTTCCGTCCGTCCATACTGTCACTGAAGCCTATGTCAGGGGCACTCTTCACAGCTATGTGACGATCATGCTGCAGATGGTACCGAAGAACAGCTCGAAGCAAGAATGTTGCCGAAAACCCAGCATTCAGAGGCGTCTATCCGAGCCTCTCATATGGCATCTGACACGGCCGTCCGCGCTATGATCATCCTCAATTCACCAGTGCAGTAAGGTTGTTACGCATCAGTCCCCGAATCTGTTCTCTGGTTAATAATAGGTATGCTTGATGGGCAACACAGCGCATCACGGGTGCGCGTTCGACACAGGATTCTCGAGGCCTGCAGTTCGACACTCTGGCAGCTGTCGGAGCGCTCTGCAGGCAAAAGGTATTCCATGTATGCAGCATGCCGTTTGGCCGCGATGCCGTGAAGAATTACTGCACGGCGGCGACCGAGAACCATCTTGGGAAGCTCTTGAAGGGAGTCTTCTTTCCATGGACCGTGCGCCCGTGGGACGCGCCATTAATGTGTCGCCACGCGCCATGTGTCGCAACATCCACAACCTGACTGTTTGTGTCCCGCGCGACGGATCCGATGGGCAGCGTCCGGCGCGTATGATTGGACGCATAGTCATTGTTGAGCCTTTTGGGATGCCGCTGTGCCATTGCCAAAGCGGTATGGCCGTTGCTTGTGTTGTGGTTCGAGCGGCACATCTAGCTTGTATAAAGGATGAATCCCTAATGGGTCTCATACTCCATCCTCACTCCTCTCCTCTCTCGGTCTCGTCTCTTTCTCCCTCGTTGCGATCTGGGATCGTCTCTCCGACAGAGTCTGTCGACTTGGTTCTGCATAGCGACCCGGTGTCAACCCACACTCCCTCACGCTCCTCGCACTGCGTAGATCGCCGGCTGTATAATTTTGTTTGAGCTTTTTACACGACCGATAGCACCAAGAAATCAGCACCATGCAGTACTCCCTCTTCGTCGCGCTCTCCCTATTTCTCGTCGCCGCTGCTGGACGCCCACAGCCCCTCAGCCGCCGCGCCTCGTTCACGCTGCAGAATGGCCAGGATGCGATCGCGCTCAAGTAAGTGCGAGTTATTGTAGTCAATCTTTTGTCGTACCGTTCCATGCGTCCTTGTCTCCATTGACAAGGCAATGACGCCACCGTCATGCGTTGTGGTCTCTGCTTTGACGGCGGCGTGGTTTTTGTGCATCCATTCCAGCTTCGTCTTTGTTCCAAGAATAGCCTTTACTGACGCCCATGTTCGTTTCGCCATTTTGGCTTTTAGCAACAAGTTCGCGGCTCTGGACGCGAATTCCGCGTGCCAGTCTGGCGAGGACGCGTGTGTGGACAGCAAATTCGCACAATGCGTCAACGGCAAGTTTGTTCTCCAGCAGTGCGGTGGCGGCCTCATGTGCGTACAACGCAAATTTTTACTCTCGGGCGCCTCCAGCTGATTGTGGCCGCACGATACTTCAGATGCGCCGCTCTTCCCCTCGTTAACTCCCCCGGAACGAGTATCACCTGCACGACTGCCGCTGACCGTGACGCGCGCATCGCTGCCACAGGTGCGAAGAGTGACGCACAGACCAATGCGTCCTCCGCCAAGGCCAGCGCGACCAAGTCGACCGCTGCTACCAAGACGTCCGCTGCCGCTGCCGCTGCCTCTGTATGTCTGACAGAACCATAGTCTTACTGATCAACTTACCGACGCTTTGCTGCACAGGCTACCGCGAAGGGAGGCAGCAACACCGCGTCGGGCAACAACGGCAACGACCCGCAGACCTCGCTGACTCTCCTCGACTCCGTGATCGCGAAGGGCTTCGCGCAAGACGGCCAGGCGCAGCCGGAGGCGGGCCAAGTCCCGTCTCTCACGTCCTCGAACAACTTCATCAACTTCTGCGCGACGGTGCCGGACCTGCCGCTCACGAACGGGCAGCAGATCAAGACGGGCTCGTGCAACCCCGCGCCGATGGGCGTCATCGCGGCGGCGACGAACATGCCCGCGTCCAAGTTCGTGTTCCCGAAGAACAACGGCAAGGTGGCCGCGGGCCAGAACTTCACGATCCAGATGGCGGTCAGCCACCTAGCGACGGGCAACTTCGTGAACGCGAACGACAACTACTTCGCCGCGCCGCAGCAGGTGAACGCGCAGGGCGACATCAAGGGCCACTCGCACGTCGTCATCGAGCAGCTCGCCGCGCTGGACACGACGCAGGTCACGGACCCGACCAAGTTCGTGTTCTTCAAGGGCCTGAACGACCCGGCGGAGAATGGCGTTCTGTCCACGGTCGTTGCGGGCGGTCTGCCGAAGGGCACGTACCGCCTTGCGTCGATCAACACCGCGGCGAACCACCAGCCCGCTCTTGTCGCTGTTGCGCAGCACGGAGCTCTCGATGATATGGTTTAGTGCGTACTCTTCGTCCCAACACCTTGTTATCAGTATGCTGACACCGATTTCCAGCTTCACTGTTGCATGAGCACCTCACGACTCCATGACGTTATACATTATTTGGCATATTTATTGGGGTGTAGATCACTCAGACCCAGCAGTGGCCCGCGTTTGAATGTCTAGTTTAGCCGCAGCTTTCTGCTTTCCGTCATGTAGCTATAGGTTCATGCTGTCAATGCTAGTTGATTGTCGCTCTCTTGTTACCGGATGTGCCCCTCGTGTGATCAAGTTATAGGCGAGATACAAATGTAAGCTACGTGGGCAGTATTAGTCTAATATATGACGTCTTACCTCGGAGTCATCTCAGGGCATGAACGTCGGCAGTCATAGCGGTCTAATAGACGTGACCATGACAGGCAGAAATAGCTGGTCATGGCTTGACATGTCCGCTTCGTGGCACGGAGCGACTGGCGCTGCAGAGACGGTCGAGTCATATTCGCGAACATACAAACCTCCAGTAAGCGCAGCACTTGGGAGCTAGCGCCCAGGGCTTCGCACTGCAGCCTGAGCTTTGCCGCGATGACTGAGCTCAACAGCCCACGCTCGTTCACCATCCGCGTCCCCGCGACCTCAGCCAACATCGGCCCCGGCTTCGATGTCGTCGGCCTCTCGCTCTCCCTCCACCTCACCCTCACCGTCACCATCACCCCCGCCGACGCCCCCGTGCCCCCGCAGATAACGCACTCGGGCGAGGGCGCGGACGAAGTCCCCCTCGACGCGTACAAGAACCTCACCACGCGCGTCGCGCTCTACGTCCTCCGCTGCCACGGCATCCCCACGTTCCCCTCCGCGCTCGCCATCCACTGCGCGAACGAGATCCCCTTCGGCCGCGGGCTCGGCTCGTCCGGCGCCGCCGTCGTCGCGGGCGTGCTCCTCGGCAACGAGCTCGGCCGCCTGCACCTCACGCGGGAGCGCATGCTCGACTTCGCGCTCATGGTCGAGCGGCACCCGGACAACGTCACCGCCGCGCTCGTCGGCGGCTTCGTGGGCTCGTACCTCCGCGAGCTCGACGCCGCCGCGACGGAGGCCGCGAGCGTGCCCCTCAGCGAGGTCCTCCCGGAGTACCCGCCCGACGCGGGCGAGGGGTGGGGGATGGACCCCCCGCAGCCCCCGCTGGGCATCGGGCACTACGTCCGCTTCGGGTGGTCGGGGAGCATCAAGGCACTCGCGATCATCCCGCGGTTCGAGCTGAGCACGGCCAAGGCGCGGAGCGTGCTCCCGGAGCAGTACTCCAGGAAAGATCTCGTACGCCCCGCCGTCCATCCCCTTGTTGGGTCACTCGCGTGATCATCTGCTAACTCGAAACGGCGGGCAGGTATTCAACTTGCAACGGCTGGCGGTGCTGACGACCGCCCTGGCGCAGACCCCGCCGGACCCCGAGCTCATCTACGAGGCGATGAAGGACCGCGTTCATCAGCCATACCGTAAAACTCTGGTGAGCGCGCCGTCCCTTCCACCATCTACTGCTTCTATCCTTCGCGCCCCCACCGAGTCCGTTCCCGTACTTATATTCAAACTCCCTCATGATTACAGATCCCCGGCCTACCCGAGGTGACGAACAACATCACCCCTTCCACACATCCAGGGCTCTTGGGCATCTGTCTATCTGGTGCAGGGCCAACAATCTTGGCGCTGGCCACAGGAGGCTTCGAAGCAATCGCAGAGGATGCGCGTACGATCTTCAAGGGCCATGGAATCGAGGTTGACTGGAAGGTGCTCGAGGTCGTGGGCGGTAGCGTTGTACAGCATAATCAATGAAGCCAGCGGAGATGTGTAGTACCAAGCAAGCCGCATCAAAAGTTCAGAGCATGACGAAAGCGTGACGTTCATTAGGCATTACGAAGACATGAGAGTGAAAGAAGGTATGTATGTTACGATGGGTATGCGTATGTATATGGAAGTGTAAGAGATCCGGGTCTAGCCAATATCCACCCCATCTATGCGCGCCCCGCTTAACCACCAGCAGTCAAGCAAACGGCGCGAGTCGCCACCAAGGCACTGGCGGCGGCGTCGAATGGCAAGTCGACAGTGAACATCACGTCGCTGCGGTCGCCATTGAGGTAGACCGGCAAATTGACCCTGTTCGGCGCCGTCTCCTCGGACTGCACCCATCGGACCTGCGACGGGCCAAGCCTGACAGTCTCCCCATCATTCAGAACGAGTTTGTCGGTGGCCCAGGCTGCGCCCTCTAGTACGAGACCTGAGAGGAAGCAATTAGGCACTAGCATGTACGATGGAAACAATGATGCTCACCGTCGACGATGAATGCGCCAGGGTCGTTCACCTTCTCGATGTCGAGTTCAAGCCGCAAGGTCTCCAGACTCCACTTCTTGCGGTGCGCGACTGCCTGGCGGGTGGCAGTGATGTATGCCTCTGGGAAGAACAAACCACCGAGCCAGACTTCGATGTTGGTGAGATTGTCCAGCTGAGCGATCTGGTCCAGCTGGGCAAGACGGCGCGCGAAGTTGGAGATCCACTCGGACACGCCCATCGCCTTGTGCACTTTGTAGCGGCGCCAGTGCGTTGGAATCGTGCCTAGACGGTGTCTCAATTTAGCAACAGGGAGAGACGACCGAATATGGTCAACTCACCTTTAGTGAGCGAGCTCATGAGAGTGCGCAAGTGGTTCGTCTGCTTGAGATCGCCTTCGCAGACCTTGACGACGTCCGCTAAGTCCTTGCGAACCTGCGAGAGGAGCCTGCTTCCGATGCTGCCCTCACGGAAGAACAGACGGTACAACGGGTCTGAATGCTCCGCGCTTTGCTTCTGAAGCGTCTGGAAGTTCTGTAGAAAGGAGTAAACGATATGTTCATGCTACCATAGAGGCACAACTCACCGCTGGGAGTTGCTGGAGCCATTCACGACAACGTTCGTGCAAGTTCCGCATCCATGCTGGTTGCTGCGAAGTTTGGCCCTGACTCGATGGTCCAGCAGCAGGAGTCGCTTCGTCATCATCGTCAGCCAGCATACGCATCTTACGCAGCTTGCCAAGAAGTTCGTTTCCTGATTCATTTTGAGTAAGTTCTTTCCAGATGTTAGGAAGAAGGGAACGTACCTTGAGCAATGGCAATGACGCGCTCGGCAGTGGGGGGAAGGCTGAGCCACGAAGGGGGCTCCCGATCAGGCAGCCCTTGCACCCAAGACATGAAATGCTCAAGCTTAGTGCCATCGGGGACTGTGAGCACCTGCGAGCCGGTGACGCTTGGAACTAGGTCGAAGTCGACGTTGTAGGCATGTGGAGTAAAAAGTCCGTCTACGAAGGCATCCACAATCCTCTGATCGAAATCACTGTCAACCCTACCACCATAGACGGATTGCTTGACGAGCGTGCGGATCGCATCCCAAGGAATGGCTGCAGGATCGACATTCGCACGGCCCTTAGCGACGCTGTTGAGCCAGGTATCGATCGTAGTAAACGCAGCTGCCATGTCGGAGTCGTTGAAGTCATATGTCTTGCTCCATCCGAGGGGCACGTAGCGCAGACGCTCCTGCACAACGGCGTGGAACCACGCAAGGAGGAAATATAAACGGACTTTCTCTGCGGGACCTTGCGTCAAGCGGCCCGAAGAGATGTTACGCAAAGAGTCCGAGAGGTTGGCCTTGATACCCGGAGGTGGCTCGTTCATGAGAATGCGCGATTGACGAAGGATGTTGACAGGGATGCTCGGATTCGCCTCCATGGTAAGGAACAGGCGGAAGTTTCTGTGTGGATTGAGAGTCTGCAGCTTCTTCTCCAGCTGACCAAGCCAAGATGGTGCGAGGTGGACATTCTTAAGCAGCACCCAAGAGCCTTGGCGCGCGGCCAACGCTACCGCCTGGTCCGCGAGTGTGAAACCTTCCTGCGAGCCCATGGCGACTGACGAGCAGCGAGAGCCGGAATTCTGAACCAAGTTCTCGACACGGTAACTGGCGTCGTAGCCGGGGACGGAAACGAGGGCCAGAGGAGTGGCCGGCTGGATCTCGTCCGTCACAATCTTCCCAAGGTCATAGGCAGACTCCGAGGCAATATCGATCTGGAATACCGTCCTGACAAAAGTAGCCGTAGATTGCAGAAGGCGATCTGGTCGCAAGCATTTGATGATGATCATGTTCCGGATCGCCTCAACCGCGGCTGGGAAAAATATGAGTAAGGGCGTAACGTACACCGGAAAGGAATGGACGTACGGGTGCTGGGGTCCCAAGGCGAAGGCACGGACTGCTCGGGGCTAGCCGACTCTAGGAAAGGAATCCATTCATCTTCGTGTTCCGTGAGATGTGTGAGGACAGGCTTGAACATCGGCTGCTTAGCGAATGTGACGACACGTTGTGCCTGATCGGGTGTAAGGATGGTGGTTTGGATGGCACCCGCGCCAGCGACCACACCATCGCCGCTCTCCAAGAAGAACTCAAGCTCGTCATTGATTTCTTCGACGCCGCGAAGCTTCACTTGTGCAAGAAGCATAGCAAGCATAACGTGGTCACGATGGAGCAAGGCTCGGGATGTCCTCTTGTAGACGATGACGAAAAGGTCGTTCATCAGGATGTCCCTGCGCTTGGCATAGTCAGCGACGCCTTGTAGGTTCGGGTTATGGTGGAGAATGTAGTCGAAGATGTCGAGGAAGAAGCGCAGGGAGAACTGATAGAAGTGGTTGACGAGGTTCAGTTGCTCGAGGATGAAGAATACGGCACTACAAGCCTGTGCGAGAGGAAGGTACTCGGCAGTGACTTCTTCGACTTCCTTCATGACAACGTCGGTCTCCTCGACTTTGCGAGTGATCTCGGCAGCCTCTCGTTTGAGCGTCTCCAAGGTGTTGATGACCTTGTCGTCGTCCAAGATGTTGCCTGACGATTCGTTGAGCGCCTGAAGCAGCAGCTTCTCCAGAGTACGGAGCCGAAGTCGGAATTCTCCCTGCATCTTCATGAGGTCCGTCCGTTTCCGCTCGGTGTCCGGGCGCTCGACCTTGAGCACTTGATCCAACGACTGGCTCTGCAAACTGCTTCTCGTCATTGTGAAGTTGACGAAGGTGACACGACTGCATATGTCCGGAGAGAATTCGACAGACGGGTCACGAGTGGAGAGGAACATGGTGAACGAAGGGGAGAAGTCGATGTCCTGATTACCAAGGCGGATGAGGACACGACCACCAGTACGCCGGATCTCCCTGTTGAGAACTGGATTGAGAATAGGGTCCAGATGCTCGACATCCTGAATGAGAAGGGTGTTGCCGAAACGAAGGGCGCTCTCGAGTACTTTGAGGAAAGCCTCGTCCAGGAAACTTGTGACAGTTATCTTTCGATCCCTGTACTCGTTCAGCAAGAAGGTGGTCGCCTGGCCAGTAGGATCGATGATGAGGGGGTAACGGCTGTAACGCTTGATCATGATAGCGTTCTCCGTGCATAGATTGTCGGAGGGAAGGGACTTCGACTGCCAGCTGAGACGATCGTCTGCGGTGGACAGGTACTCGGGGAGGGAGAGCTCCGCCTTGAATTTGATCCCGGCCTCGGCGAGATGAGAAGACCATTCCTGCCACATTTGCTCGCGGTATTGTTGGTCGAAGAAGCCAGCGTAGGCGAGGAAGGCGGCGGACAATAAGACGTCGCCGACAATGGTGCCCATCTCGGTATCGAAGGTGCGACTGCCATCCTCCCAACGGACCTTCTCGGAAGACAGACTCTCCAGCAATCTCATACTGCGATCCACCTTACTCTCCACGCGTTCCATTTCAGTCTTGATCGCCTCGGTCTCGCGGATGAGACCAGCATACTCCTCCTTGTACCGCTCGATACTCTTTTCAAGCTCGGCAATCATCGTCACCATCATCGCTGCCTGCTGCTTGGTTGCTTCTGCCTGATCCTCGAGAGACTGCACTTCGTTGCGAAGAGGCTCCACCTTGTCGAGGATCTCCGAGAAACGGACCTGTGCAATCGCCCATTTGACAAGAGGGCCACAAGCCTTACTAGCACGCTGCACAGTCTCGAAGTTGTAGGATGGTCGACTGAGGAAATCCCTCTTCATGAGGTCCCGAAGTTGCTTCGTCATCTGGTTCGCAGTGTCGAAGTTGACGATACGCTGGATGAAGTCGTCGCGACGGATGATTCCCTGAACCGTACGCCAACTGTCAATCTTGTGACCCAGGATGGTACAGACAGACTCCATCGCAAGCTTGACGGCTTCCGGTGGGTTAGCCATTGTACGGACTTCCTGCAGATGCTGACGCTTGATGTTGCTGACAGCGGACTGGGCGTCGAGGACAGCGGGTTCGGCGTCGGCGAGATCGGCCATGACAACTTCCCGTCGCTGTTTGATGTTCTTGTCCTGCTCCTTGAGGGCTGCCTGAATCTCGATGGACGCTGCTTTCTTCTGTTCTGCTTCCTGTTGGTCTGCGACCATCTGTTTGAGCTTGTTGTTGGCCTCCGAGTTCTTCGCTTCCAATTGTGTCCGCTTGATAGCCAAACTCTTTCGGAGCTCTTCGACCTGCTCGACGGTTTCCCGAAGTTTGTCAAGACCAACGTGCAAATGACGCTGTTGTTCCTCGAGTTCCTCGCGCTTCTCGTTGTGCAGCCGCACGTAATGGTTGATGCTAGTGTGTAGTGATGTCAGTAGTCATTAAGGGTATCAAGAACAGTAGAACGCACAAGTCGAGGTAATGCCGCGGAGTGACATAGTTGTAACGTCCTTGGCGGCGACTGAGTCGCTGATTGATGTGGTGCATCGACTCATGAACATGAACCAAGGCGTTGACGACAGCAGAGCGGTGAGTGGGCGGCATAGACAAGTCGCGGTAGGCAATGGGGAACATCGAAGGGGGATTGTATGTCTGCAGGTCTAAGTCGAGTGTGTTCGTGAATTCCAGGCCAACCTGGAAGAAGGCCTGATCGGACCAGTCACCGAACCAGTCGAGTACGCAACGGTTGAACAAGGCAGGAGAAGTGGCGGCGCGAGACGCCAAACCGTTCTCGGGAGGGTTCATCGTGAAGACGACGTGAAGGTTCTTCGCAACCTGCTGCGTGAACCAGCGGTAGAGCTCTTCGTGAGAATCGAGCATGAGACCGTCGCGCTGCGAACCTTCCTTGCAGGCAGTCATGAGTGCGGCGTGCTCGTCTCCCTCGAATAGACCTGGCACCTCGGCGTTGGCGAGGAGGGTGTTCATCCGTTCAAGGAAACCAGAGTCGAGGACATTGGACTCGTCCATTATGAAACAGATCTTCTCGCCCTTACAGCCAGCGCGGCGGAGGACCGTCCTGAGGTCCTCATCAAAATCTTCACCGGTGTACTTGTTGGAGACCTTGATTTGAAATATGCTGAGACCGTTCATCCAAGCAACGAAACGTGACAGAGTTGTCTAGATAGACGATATCAGTACGACCCACTCCCAAGTGACTCATCTACGAGCACAAACCTTTCCACTGCCAGAAACACCGATGAGGAGTAGATGGCCTTGGACTTGACGGAAGACACGATCGATACGCAGGACGTGATCCAAGACGTCGTTGAAGAGGACGAGCGGCACATCCAGTTCTTCCTCGTAGAAGACGCGTAGACGAGCCTTCGTGTATTCGCGGAGAACCTCGCGATCGACCGGGATGTAGTTCTTCGATGTCCAGTTGGAGAATAGGATGGGACGGGAAAGGGCCTCGTCACGGTTGATCGTCGGGAAGTGCTCCATAGCTGCATTGTCGATGGCCTCGTCGGTCCACCGCTTCTCTTCCTCTGTAACAAGACGATCTTGGAAGAGACGCAAAGCCTCGTGTGCCCACACACGAACCAAGCCTTCAACAGACAGGATTTCCAGGGGCCGTATAGCCTCGTAGATACCACGCACCCATCGGGTAAGCTCACGGGGGGAGTAGACGTAGTGCGCCTGGATATCGGTGGTGAAACGCTTCTGAGAAGCGAGGTAGAGAGTGACCATGGCGTCCGTGAGGGGCTCGGCATACGCGCGGAGATTTGGAACAACTTTGAGCAGCGCGCGATTGTACGTCCCGTAGATCTGCTTGAGCGAGAGCTCTCCAGGGTAATCGACCATGACCAGAGGGGCATGACGCAGGAAACGGTGGCTAAGCGGCACACGACCAGGGTCAGTGGGAGGGTTACAGGCGCCGACGAACTGAATGCGCTCGAGTTTGACCCAGGCCATGTCGCTCGTCCTCCAGTAACCACCGCATTCTACCAACTGACGGATGAAGGATATCACGCGCTGCGTCCCGTACTTATCGGTAGCTGGCAGGTTGATTTCGTCGCAGAACACCACGAGCCAGCGTCCGATCTGGGTAGGGGCGAGGATGACACCGTTCGGCGTCTTGCGGTATTCGCAATACTGCTCGAAGGTCTTAAGAATGAGTTCGGGGACAGTTGCGCTCGAAAAGTTCAGACCAACGACCTCCATATCCGGAAGTTTGCGTAGAGCGCTGAAGAGCGTCATGGTCTTTCCGGAACCAGGAGGACCACAGAGCATCAAGGGCTTGTGCTCGGACAGCCACGAGTAGAGAACCTCCTCGTGGCGGACCGTATCGACAGTGGGTACGACGACATCCGAAGCAGTTACTGCGTGAGATTCAATCTCGATGACCGGAACGCGAGATTGCCATCCGCTCCACTCTCCGTTGGCGACTTGTACGTCGAAGTCTAGAAGGGAGCCACCCGGAATGAGAGGTGGAAGGTCGACACCAGTGTGCTTACGCAAAAAGTCACCGAGCTCGGCGCGGAGCTCGAGGCGTGCATCTCCGGAGAACGCCCAGATGATGTTAACGAGAAGACGCTTGGTTACATACTGCTCGACGCGCTCGTGGCTGAGAGGGAAATCAGAGTGCTGTATGTTGTACTCGATGACGTTCCGCGCGGTCTTGTTGATGAGCGAGAACAGCGTATTAAGAGCACGGGTGACGGTGAAGTCCATGATGTGCTCGATGGTCTCTGCGTATTGGAGGGCAGACATGATGAGCTCGCCTTCGCCAAAGAAGGGTTCAAGGATGGTGGCGATCTGCTTCTGGGTAGCCAAGTGGGGAGATGCTGCGCTCTCGTTCGGATCGGTGCGACGACCAGGGAGGTCGACCGCTTCGTCGTCTTCAGCGTCCAGGGGCACCGTGGATAGCGTCTCGAGGTAGTAACGGAAGACCATGGCAGGCTCCACGACGTCCTCGCTGAACCAAATCATACCGCAGCGACTGACGGTAGCAAGCGTCGCGTACTTGAGGTGCTCAACTTCGAACATGATGCGCACGTTGGGCGGTAGATTAAGACGTTCACCGTTCGGCAATGTCAAGAGCTTGTTGTCGTCGAGAACACTGACAACTGATGGTGAGCATGATTGTCCTTAGTGATAGGGAGTAGCACAAACCTGTTCAGGTTCTCGACCCACTCAGGATCGACATCGCCGTCAAAGATGATCCAGTGCCTCTTGCCACTCTCGCCGCGAACGTCATCAACAATCTTACGCAGCGTATGCGTGAAGAGACCGTCGTTCCACTCGCGAGTCGTCGGGTCGAGCGTCCCGTACAACGCGTCCTTGTGCATCGCCTTGGGATCGATCACGTACGATACACCTTCGATACCGTCGAGGCGCTCCAGAGCGGCGAGGAGAACCTGCCAGGCATTCGTCTTGCCGCTACCAGAAGGACCAACCATCATGAGACCATGCTGGATCTTCTGGATCTGGTAGAGCTGCAGGATCTTGTTGATCCAGCGTTCGCCCTCAACGAGGCGTCGCTCGGAACAGACCTCGCCAATCTTCTGGCGGAGCGCGTCCAGGTCGACAGGAACGTAGTCGACGCCAGGGAAGACATCGGCCAAAAGACTGCATACGGAAGTCAGCTACTGTGTCACAGCACATCGAAGCAACATACCTCGTCAACAACGGGACATCATCTGCGACGAGCTTAGGCACGATGGTCTCGGTGACACTCTGGATCAAGATAACCTGCTCAGAAGCAGCGTCCGAGAGGCCAGCAGCGTCGGCACCCTCGTGCGTAGCTGCAAGCAGGCGCTCTCGCTTCAGGATACCAGCAGACGCCAAAACAGCCTTAAGAGCACGTAGACCGAAGTCGTAGTGAGGCTGAGGAGACAGTTGCTCGTCGCACAGGTTGAAGAAGGGAACGATCTTCGAGGCAAGCGACTCTGCGGTACGGAAACCTTGCGAGAACAGCATGACCTGAGCGATGAGCTCCCGGTCGGGCCTCGTCATAGCCATGGGACGGAAAAGCTTCGTCAAATTGGGCGGGAGTTGCGAACGGCCGGCGTAGTTGGGGTTGGTCGTGATGAAGATACCCATGTTCTTGTTAAGCTTGACGTTCTTGCCGACGAGCTCGATCTCTGTATTCGGATTCTTTACAAGCGTCGCGAGGCCCTGCTGGATGCTCTGAACTTGCTGCGAGACGGCCGACAAGATACGCTCCTCCAGACGGTTGAACTCGTCGAAGCACCCCCACGCTCCTACTTGACAAAGACCAACGAAGATACGACCCATAGCCTGAAAGTCGAAAGTCTCGTCGCAACAGAAGACAAGGACGAACCGACCAAGTTGGACGCCGAGAGCCTTGACGGACTCGGTCTTACCTATAAGTTTATGAGCGCCGTCTGATTGTTGTCAGTCGAGCTACAAGACATACCAGTTCCAGCGGGACCAAAGGGAGCACCACCGAGCTGGTTGTCCAAGGCTTGTGTGAGGGTGAGGTAGCACCTGTCCGTGAGCGGCGTCTGCACTAGGCGATCGGGAACACCGAGGTACTCCCATCCGTAAGGGAAGGAAGCATCCGCGACTCGGATGGCGAGCCTCTCGAGGGGGTTCTCAATGCTCCTGTTGAGGTAGAAGCGCATCTGGTACAACCAGGTGAAGGCACGGTTGTCGGACACGTTCTGCTGAATCAACTGGCGCGTAACATCACGCTGGTGGACGAGCTCAGTGATGAGGTGCTCGCACTTGCGACGCGTCACAGGAGTGAGCTCCGTCAACACGACGTCGGCGAGAAGGTCGAGACCCTGGCGGACCGTATCGAGAGGACCCTCCAAGGACTGCGAGCTCTCCAGAGTACTCTCGATAGAGGCGGTCCAAGCAACTTGAACAGCGAGCGTGACCAGCTGAGCGGGATACTTCTCGAGCCACGCCATGAACTGATCCTTAGGGAGGGGCGTGACGCTGCCGTAGAAAGATTGGAGTTCCCCAACGGCGTCGCATAGAAGCTCGGCAAGCGATACCCGCATCTCTGCTTCTAGCTTGCTGAGCCAGTCGTTAATCTTCGGATAGTCCTTGAGCAAGATGGGGGTCTTGAACTGGACTTCTTCGCCTTCTCTAGAGGCCATACCCTGGATCTGCGTCAAGTCGTCGTCCAGCATGATGGTCGAGATACCAGCGAACATCTTTTTGAGATGCTTCATGATACGGAGAATCTCCTTGCTGTTACCGATGATCTCAAGCAAGTCTTCGTCACCAACGAAGTAGAACCGCGGGAAGGAAGCACGCTCCCGCTCCAAGTACTCTCCGAGAGCCTTCTGGATCTTGTTTAGCATCTCTGCAAGACGCTCGAGGGACTTTTGGATGCCCTGAATATTCATGACGTCGATGACGAACGGCGACTTATAGACCTTCTTCATAACGGCCAAAAACTCGGTATTGATGTTCTGGAACCGGCCGGATTCGACAGGGAGAAGGTGCTTGATGTCGGCACTTCCAGAGAAGATACCTTCGAGGTACACCCATTGTCGCTGAACGTCGATCCATACATCTTGAAACAAAGGTCAATAACCATATTCGCAGGCGCACCAGTATCAGAGGTCAGTAACGCACCGAAGAGTACATGTATACGGTTCAATTTCTCCTCCCAGGACCCAGCCTCTTCCTCGAATACTATACAGATGATGAGAGAACGTTGTGCAAAGTCAAGATAACCCATTCTCACCCTTGTAGTAAGGTGACAGCTTCATCGCCGTCAGCGAGTTCAAGTTCTCGCTGCACTTGTTGAACAAGTCGTCCCATCCTCTGTGGCCCAGGTCAAGCTGTGTCCAAGTTAAGCTGGGAATTATGCGTACCTGATCAAACGGCACTTGTTCTGGTAGTTGACCAGGTCGAGGGTATAGTTGGTCCATGTCTCCTTGACTTGCCTGATGTACTCCTCGAGGGCCATCTACGCCACATTGAGTATATAGCTAAACCGCATGAAGGCGCGATTCTCACCTCTCCCTGTGCCTGAATGATAACCTCCTTGATCAGGTTCTCGTTCTTCCGTAGATCCATATCGTAGACGTGACCCAAGGTCATCCTACAATTACCATGAGAATTTAGACTCGTCACATACGTGGACGGCACTCACAGCGGCAAGCTGATTTGCGACGGCACCCTCAACACCTTGAACAACTGCTTCCAATGCCTATCCTTCAGTGCCTCCGACTTGAGTTCGCCAATGAGCGTGTTGGCCTTGAGTAGACCCCTCAGCACGTCCTGCACGTACTCAAACGCAGCATACTGTCGCATGCGCGTCGGCATCTCCTTCGTCGACGAGAGCAGCCCGTCCAATTGCTGCCTCAGCTTCCTCGGCTGTACCGTCGCCCACGCCATCTCCCTCAGCTCTCCGATTTGGTTCCACACTCCCGACAGCGCGGTCCAAACGGCCTTCAGGTCACGCAACTCCTCAAACACGGGCTCTAATCGTGTGTGACGAATGAGCTCCAGGTCGAGGGCCTCCTTCGCCTTGCATACGAGCTCGTAGTCATCTTGTACGCGCGTGAGCTTGCCCTCGAAGATGTTGATGGTATTCAGCGCAGTGTCGGCGCGCATGCTGCCTTGCACGGGTCGAGTCTGCTCCCATTCGGCGATGATGTCGTTAATCTTGTTCTCTACGATCTTGTCCTCCGCGACAATCTTGAGTTGGAGGCCGGCTGCGACGCAGTCAGTCGTACGCGCGTTCCTTCATCCCGCCTACGAAGGCCACACTGGGACTGATAGCACGCACCTAATTGCTCCTGGATAGAGTCGTTCTTTCTCTTGAGTATCTCATTGAAGGCACTCCACTCCCCACGCAGTTGGTCACTGTACAGCCAGTCGTCCGGGAATTGATATCGGAATCGCTCGAGCGTCTTCTCACCGCTCGCACAGACTTCGATCATGGGCCCCCATGTCTTCGTCTTGCGTTTGAGGTCTTGGACGAATGTAATGAAGGTGACCGCCGCGGCGGTAGAGGAGTTGGAGGGTGCCAACAACTACTCCTGGTGTCAATACAGCGCATACGATGGCAATGGCGACGAGGACATACCTCCATGTTGTTGACACACTGGTTGGGGACAAGTTTAGCAAGGCGCGACGCGTCGCTACAGGAGCTCTTCGGCAAATTCCGATGCGTCCTTGGCGGACCCGCGCCAAACTCGCGCCTCTTGTCCAGAGCCTCTATCCCCTCCTCTCATCCCATTCAAAACCCTTTCGTTACGCTTTCTCGACGCACATAGCCCATCATGTCAAACCGTCAGCAGAGGGTGATGGTTCAGCCCATCGTGAGTGATATCTTACCTCATCGTGTGTGCGTATCCCTTCAACCCGCTCCTCCAGAACGTGATCTTCAAGAACTTGCAGCAGGCACGTTTCTCGTCGCACTCAAAGGGCCAAGCTAACTCTTCCCTTCAGAGAACAAAAGTTGTGATCTGGCTGTACGACAACATCGAGATGCGTATCGAGGGGACTATCATTGTGCGTGTCCAGAATGCACCTTCACGCACTCCGCGTTGAACTCCAGTATGAACGAAGGCGACAGCTTCTTCATTGCACATGTCTTACTGCGCGCGATGAGTGTTTCCGTCCGACCTCTATCATCTCTCGGTGCTATATATATTGCCGAACGTCAGGCTGACGCGTTTCGTCACAGGGTTTCGATGAGTTCATGAACGTTGTGATAGACGATGCGGCGGAAGTGTATGTGAAGGACGCGAAGCCCAGGAGAGAACTCGGTACGTCGTAATTCCAATCTGCCCCGCACACATGACTGAAGCTTTTTTTGACTATCAGGCCGCATTCTGCTAAAAGGTGACAACATCACGCTCATCCAGCAAGTGGTTTGAGCAGGAGGTCCTTTCTTGTACTGTCTAAAAGTGGCGTCTTGCGCACCTGTTGTACGTTCCTTGCTGTGATATTACTCTTGACGCCACGCTATCGATTGCACCCTGGATCCACATTCGAGTCCCATGATACCGAACAGAGGATTGTGAATAGAAAGCGATTATCATAGATTGTACACAGGCAAGAGAGAGGTGAGGTTCAAAGACTGTCGACAGAGAGGGCACTCGGCCTGCGCAACACGCGGTATCAGCAAGCTGACGGAGGTCATCGAATGCTCGGGCGCCCACCTTCTCCCGACCCCACCCTACGATGCAGTTCCAGCAGAATAAATGTCCGCAATCCGTAGCGCAACTCGCTGTCCGCTCCTCCAGGCACAGCGTACAATTCCTCCCCGCACGCACGTCTGGTGGTATCTTCGAAACGTCCAATATTGTTCGCTCGTCTTCTTCTGCAGGCAGCGGTGGCGCGTCCTCTAGATGTGCGGCAGCCTCAAGCATGTTGGCGACTCGGCGGTCGTCAATGAAGATGTCATCATCGCCGTCGACTATCCGCTTGCCCTTCTCGTCTCCTAACTCGGCCTTCGGGGAACGCGAACGGAGATAACTCAATGCTCGGTGCAGGAGCCGCACACCGAGTAATATCCCAAGGAGAGCGTATGACGGTGGTCGGGCATTAGGATTCTCCGGGACTGTAGAGATCTATAATCGTAGTGAGTAAGCGTCAGGACTGAAAGCGAGCCGACATGGACGCACGTATTTGATGCCAAGAAGACGTTTCACGATGCTATAATATGTTCCTCGCAGGTAGAATATTGCCAGGTTGATCTCTGAAAGCACTTCCATCACGGTCGGGACCTTGCGGAGAGTTGCGCCAACCAATGAAGTTTGTGAGAGTGAAGAGCCCCATCTTGACAGCAAATACGAAGGAAGTGTAGGGAGTAGGATAAGCGCAGCTCTTAGACGGGGTGAAAGTCGACGTCGTTCGTGGGAGGAATGTAGCCAGATATCGGTATACTCCTCCCCCAACGTCTGCGAGCCTGTACCAAAGATGAGCCGCTGGTGCAGGTGCAGACCTGACGCACTCACCAAGCCCGATAGTCAGACCATAGTAAAGTGCGTTTGCAGCGAAGTCGATCTCCTTGTCCCAGCGCGTGAGCCACCTCGTCCCTAGCACATCCTCAGCCAACAACTCGCCCTGTTCTCAAGAAACAACCCACCTAGCCATGAACGGAGAACGTTCTCTGCCTGCTCCCTTAAGGCAAACACCTGGAATAAGTCCCGCTGATTCGAGCGAACTGTCGGCGCGCGTGAAGTCAGCACAAGCCCCCCGGCTTTAGCGCTTCTTTCTCTCACGTACTGATTTGGGCCTGCTGAGCATGAGGAAACGTCGGAGGATTCCCAGACATTGCGACAGGATGTTACCGGTAGATGATGAGGGGCTTCGGGGCGTGTCGCCCGCAGTGTGGGGGAGAGTGATCGGCGTCCGGAAGAGAGCGACCCATGGGCGTTCCGAGGTCCCGACGCGCCTTGCGGACAACCTTCACGACGTCAGATCTGCTCTCGTCGCCACATCTTTGCCCCACATAACCTTACCTTGCCATCTAATCCCAAAACGCAATGCCTCCTGCAGCGATTCCCCAACAGCAAGGGATGACGGTTTGGCAGAAATGTACGTCACCACGCTCTTTCCGTGCGACAGACCTTGCATGCTGAACGTGCTTGTTTCCTCTAGTGAAGTATGTTGAATTGTGTGCGTGGTCGCTACGAAACATTGTCTAATTGCCAAATAGGATGGGTGCTGCCATGGGCGCAGGCGTTGGTCTCACAATGGGCTTCATATTCGGAGGCCTGAGCATTCTCCGGTACGTCAATGCTACTCCACGTTTTCGCCGCCATACTCACATCCTCAAGGGGAGGCGCAGGGCCTCGTGGTGTGCTCCCGACGTTGTCGCAATACATGCTGGGTAGTGCTGCGACATTCTCGTTCTTCCTTGCTATCGGCTCTGTACGTGTGTAGCCACCGCTCCACTTTAGCCTTACTGAAACATTTTCGCACAGGTGATCCGCAATGATGGAGAGCTGCCCCCACATCTTGAAGCGGCGCGTCTTCAGCTTGCTTCACCTGTGATGCGAACAAGGAGCGAGGGCCTAGCAGATATGAGACTGCGCTGGGCAATGGAGAATGCTCAGAAGCCAGATTCGCGGTGATGCTCCTTCTCTTCTCCGCTCACGCCCTCAATTCGGCATATCTTGTGTGTGGCATTCACCTAGCACATGTAAGGAGCAAACGACACCCACGTTCACGTGTCAGCTAGGAGATGCAATCAACCCGCCTTCTGCATTGGATGTCAGAACGAGCCAACCCAACTCATCGCTATACGAACGCATGCGAATGAAGATCTCGTCCTGCGATTTGGGGCGATGTAAGATGCAGGTCTGGACGTCAACATTCCAGTGTCACAGTCCGCGTCGCATCTCAACCTCCTTATACCATGTCGACGTCTAGACGAAGCTGTGGTAGATGGTCCAGGCAGAGGGCGATTGGCTTTCTGTCGACTCCAAGTTTTGTTAGGCTTAGGCAAAGTACACTGAAGCACTTCCAGCTGTTTGCGTTCATCCGAGGCCCCTACACCACTGGCACCTGTTAGCAGGACTGGCCAGCCAATGAACCTTCGGCAGTACCCATATTCCACCCTCAAGCTCCAACCGATTACCTCTTTGACCTACCGGGTTCTGGAGCGGCCATCATACTTCGAAAGCTCGTGTAGGAAACTCGTATCAATTGTGGAACTCTCAGATCGGACCTGCACATCGTATTCATCACATCTCTTCGATCTCGACGACGACGACAACGGCGACGGCCAACAGCTAAACTAACAGGAGAACCAGGTGGATGAACGCTGCAACAGATGTTTCAAGAGTAAAGACCGAGTCCTCTTCCCGCTGACCGTGATCAATGACTATAGCTCAAACTCTTCTCTTACAGGCGAATCAGCTGGATGCAAGATATGCGAAGGCGTGGGCGAAGCCCGCGATGGCCGAGAAGGTGTTAACGGTCTCGCATCCACACCCGAAATTAGTTCACTGATGAATATACTTCGCTACACTGGGATGACCTGTCGAAAATGTAGCGCTTTGAGAATCCTTAGAGAGCCATCACTGCTTGGAGGCGTCCCTTTGCCGCGCTTCCAGTTGGAGACTTAAGTCCAGCCGAGCAGAAGCAGAGGAAGGAGTATGCGGCAAAGTTCCGCACCACAGTCGCGAAGGTAGAAGGCCGCCGAACCAATTGCGAGTCTCCATCGGGTGCCCATTCTCGAGGCTTACATCAAGAGCCTACGGACTAACGGCCCACCCCTTCTCGAAAACATCTTGAAAGACGCAGATGACCTTCTGCGAGACCTTGGATCCATACTGGCTCGACCACATATTCCGGATGTAGCTTTTTGGTATTTCTCTAGATATTCCGCCGGCCAGGCATACGCGTAAGTCGGTCCATTTGTTTCACCTTCACCAAGTGAGTCCGACTCACGATTCTCTTGCAGTGCGCGAGGGTTCTACCACCACACTACACTGGAGTGGCACTGAGTAAGCAGACGAACATCCTTCCTGAAGTCGCCGAGCTTTACACGAGGGCGTCGCAAGTCAGGGCCGTTGATTACTTCCCTGCTGATGACAAGCACCATACATGTAAGTCTTACAATGCAGTAGTGCGATGCGTCTTGTACCGTTATGAATGTCCCCGAACAGTATTCGCATCGCTTTTTCAATCTGATTATTGATGTTGGCGCGGCAGCTGGACAGCTCCTGACTATGCTGGGTGCGCGGAGGGATTTCATGCCATCCATGACGCGCATCTACAAGTCCACCTCTGTGACGTCAAGCGGAGACCGCGACGAAGGGTCGATGTCACTTGTGGTCAAACTCCGGCGTAGCATGTCGTTAAGAGAATTTTATCGAACTGAAGTGCAATATTGGTCGCCGATGACATACTACGGTGTGTTTATTACCCATTAGAGCCAGTTGCTTGCGGCGTCGTGTCGTAATCGCACCTTCGAATATCCAGTGGCCCGGGTTGAGCGCTTGAGCTAGCCCCTCGATGCATGGTCCCTGAACGGCAATCACGAATACAGCAGTTAAAGCGGCAACGACCGAAATCGCCAGAGGCTTCGCCCTTTGCAGAAGGTGCACGTTCTTGTCGGGAGCTGACCAGGTCCTCGTGTTTGCAGGGTCCGTGTAAGAAGCGAGACGGCGACGAGCGATATAATTTTGCGCACCACGACTCCTTGCTGCGGCGACACGTCTTTTGACTATCTACCATCATGTCCACCTCGAAAGAGCAAGCAGAACGTCTTAAGGCGGAGGGCAACGCGCTCTTTGCCGAGAACGACTTCGCCGGCGCTTACAAGAAATACACTGAAGCCATTCAGCAAGACGACAAGAACGCTGTTTTGTACTGCAACCGTGCTGCCTGCGCTTTTGGTCTGAATAGGTACGGTAGTGACTCATGAAAGATATCCTTGTACTGAACTGTTCGGGTTAGGTACTTGGACTCGTGTACGGATGCTACCAAGGTTAGTTTAGGAACGTGCATCGCAGAGACTGCCACATTGACTCGTTACGTCGCTCATTGCAGGCGACAGAGCTCAACCAGGGGTACGCCAAAGCGTGGAGCCGCTTGGCACAAGCACAAATGGTAAGTCGATATGGGCTCGGTCTACGAGCTTTCGCACAGTAGTATGTTATGCTGATTATGGTCCTCACCAGAGCCTCAACAGACCGGATCAAGCCGTCAACGCGTGGAAACGCGCGGTCGCCGCACTACCCGTCGAGAACATGACGGCTGCTGAGAAGAAGCAGAGGGAAAGCTACACTGCCGAGCTCGCCACTGTTCAGGCTAAGCTAGTAGATCTCGAGGCCAATCCCAGGGAGCCTAAGGAGTATGTCAGGACGCGTGCATCGGATCGGCTCCCCTGGGATCGCGCGGTTACCCTAATCCCCGGGCTTCAGGCTAGCCGACAATGGAACAGTAGCGTAAAGCGGTTCCGCTTGTTCATGTGGTTATTACTCGAGCTGACGCTTTCAACCTCGTGTCAGGCCTATGTCATCACAAAGGCGTATTTCGTCAGTCTCTCTCATTGTCCTCTCGATACGATATTCTTACTAGTGTGCGCAGGAATGGCAGCAAGCAGTTGAGCATATGAAGTTGGGAAAAGATGTGCGGACTCCGAATGGTTTACCAGGCTACTTTGGGAAATTAGGGGTAAGTTCAGCGTCCACAGTTAGCACAGCAAATCTTTCAACATCATTGCGTTCAGGTTATCGCCGGACTCTCCAATGCATTACTTTCCGACGAACGCGTATTCCACATAGCCGATGCCGACTTCATTGAGCGCTACAACAAGCAGCGTAAGCAACCGGGATCTGTCACGGATACTGAGCAGCTCACGCAGTTCACCTTAGTTATGTTCGAATTGACACAGACGAGAGCCTGGGGCGATAGGGGGGCTAGGCAAATCATGGAGCAAATCCCTGGCAGGCTGAGGAGCGAGGGTTGGGACTCTGTCCGTCCAGCGATCGCCGTCACTGTTCGGTGAGTGACACGAGCTCTAGTTTGGTGTCTCCGAATGAACGAGGTGACTTTGACAGAGCCTGGATTATGCGCGCTTTTATGGAGGAGAAGCTCAAGAACAGCATCGAGGCCGCCCTAGAGTTCTATACGTCTGCATTGGATCTTCTCCAATGGGGAAAGGAACTCTGGAAGGATGTTCCTTTTGAGGACAAAGGCGCCGTCTTCCGGCCCACCTTCATTCGGGGTATCAAATGCCTACGCCTCGACGCTTTCATGGCTGTAATTTATCCCCCCAATTAACGTCACGCGATGATTCTCATGCAGTTGCGCCCAGGCGTACTCCAAACACCCCGGCGAGAACTCGAAATACTCCCTCAATGAGTTGCTTGCCAGCGCTGAGGATCTTCTCGCAGAACTCCAAGACATCCCCGAGCAACCGGGACCAGACATGGAAGACTCCGCCTTCTTCTTATCGTTCTTCCGGTACCCTCTTGGTCAAGCACATGCGTACGTGTACCGTTCTCTTCCAGAGGATTCCCCCACTCACTGCAGCGCGTACCTAGCATGCGCGGCTTCTACTATCACCACACCGGGATCTTGAAACGGAAGAAGGAAGGTATCTGCGAAGAACTGATGAACCATTATATGCAATCCTCGCAAGCATACCTCAAGGCTGCAAGCTACTTTCCCATTGACGATGAAAAGCATGCCGGTAGGTGGAATCCCACTTGTTGCCAAAAAGGGTTGTCAGCCATCTCACTCTTCCTCATGCAGGGTTCCTCCATACCGCATTCGACGTACAGTTCGACGTTGGCGGACCAGTGAACTACCTGCTCATGATTTTGGACAAGCTGAACGACGCGATCCCTCGCATGAAGCCAATCTGGGAGTACGGAGCAGACGCGCAGTATGGTGCGCATGCTGCGTTTGCGACCGATCTGAAGTTCCGGGAGAAGCTGTCGCGCGCTGCTGAAGGGGTGTCGGAGGAGGAACGCGGCCGTATGTGCATGAGGCGCGACTGAGTCGTTAGGTGAGCTGCCACCTAAGCAATGTGTGGGTCGCTGGTCACACGGTACCTCGAACAATGCTTCTGATAAAGTATCTGCAGTGGATGCGCTTTCGAAATCATCATGATCATCAAGCTATCGCAACGTCCTCCATGTCATTTGGAGTTACAGAGGAGAAAATGAAGCTGTCATGCTTTCAAAGTCGTACTCAGTCCTGAAGGTCAATGTACAACATTTGGCTTAGAGTATTGAATTGTTTGACGCGAGTGCTTGATCACTACACTGATGCCGCGCTATCGGGCTTCATGACATGTTCAGAAGATACAGTATACGCAAGCAGCCGAGGGATCAATGCATCATTCGGGAAGGCCTTGCGCATTCAACTGTTACGAAGAGATTCGATTCGCATGGGTGCGTGCATAACCTTCATCCCGTTGTTTCAGTACTACCTGTAAGTGAATTGTCCACAAAACCACATCACTTCCAACGCGAGACGTCGCACAGTAAACCTATCAAAATCCAGACATCGGCTACACCATCCGCCGGGCATCGGACGATGCTTCCGCGTTGGCCATCGTGGTGAGGTATGAAACCTCTTCATCTTGGGTTTGCGAGCTCTGACCAGGACCATTGCTGCTTTCTCCGTCTGCCTGATCCGAGCGAGCCGCCTTGCACCCCCTTCCGCTAGGCACTTCTAGGCGACCTAGCTCGTACTCGGAGTCATCCACTCCAGGACGCCCATCCACATCCACGTCTTCGCATTTGACGTCTCCTCGAGCACGGCCGTCTCCTTCGATGCCACTACCCTGAGCACCTGAGGCCTGTCGCTCTTCTTCTGATAGCAGTTCGGGTGTTGGGGGGGCTGTAGCAGGTGCATACTTGAGAACGTCAACGTGTAGGAAGTAATGCGACGTCGCTGAAAGCTGCAGATAGAGCTCCAGAATCATTGGATCTGGTTCTGACGAGCTGAACGCGACCCGTCTAGCACTGAGTGTTTCGTCCCATCCGAACGCACAGTTATCGAACCAAGTGACTGTGTACGACTCAACTTCCTGCTTCTGCCTTTCGAGGGGTCCAGGCATGTACAGCGTTGCGATGGCATCGATGGTGAACGACCAGCCACCATGCGCCAGATGATGGTTGAAATCGATGATGACGGTGAGATCGGGGGTGGTTAGTGTGAGGCGGTGCGTGGCCGGATTCTCCTCATTGGGACCTCGGAAATCCGTCACTGTGTAGCCTCGGGCTTGGAGAGTGGCAAAGGTGATCTTGGGAAGGATGAGACTTATCGCCTTGTGTGGCCGACGAAGCTGATCAATGTATTCCAGTGGCTCATGGGGCCACTGCCAGCGGCGGGTGGGATGGGATACGTACACCGTCTTTAGCTCAACATGCGGAAGACAGCGCTCGATGGTAGCCGGTGACAGGTAGAAGACATCGGGCTCATTCGTATCATGCTCCGGTCCTCGCTTAATCAGGACATTTCCTGGGAACAAATACTCGACGCGAGACGCAGAGGGAGGAATGCAGCAGACCCGCCCTAGAAGATGATCAGGGCGGTGATTGTGCTCGCACGCGAGAATAGCCAGGAACCAATGGGATGCTGGTATGTTGACGGGGTACCGTGTCGCTTTCTGAGGAAGATACAGCGAGAGTGGTATCAGTGGGAACTGGGTGCGGATCCCAAGCGGAGTGAATGTGTATTCTGGGGCAAAGGCCTGACGGGACATCTGGAGGCGCTGGATCAGATCGTGGTGACCAACTGTTCCGATTTTTTCGCCTTCCACGAAGGAGGAAGGAGTTTCTGAGAGAAGTGAAAATAGCCTAGGAGGGTGTTTGTCGATCCAAAACCGTGGAGTGTCGCAGGAAAAGGTGAGACCTTGTGTGTCAGCCGTGAGCTCGGGGCCCTCATACACGTGTTTCCACGCAAAGAGGCTCTGGTCCGGAATCCGCCGCATGATCTCCTCCTGCAGTCGCCGGAAGGCCCGGTCACCTTCCCCATAGAGAGTGGGCAGGTTGATGTCAAAAATCCCCAGCAGTGAATATGCTTGATCTTCCACCCTCGTCGTCTTTCTGGAGGCAGCCCACGAGAGCCGCTGGGCGACGCTGAACTGGTCGAGCGACACCAGCTGCAATAGAGCATCATACGGGATATTTGTGATCTCCTCGACAACGTCGCACAATGTGTGCTTCGTCCCGATGACCTTCCAATCTTCGGAGAGAAAGATGACCTCGCGAGACGCAAGGAGCTCCTGCAGCGTCCATCCGCGAGTAAACCACGAGCTGCTTCGGAAGCGGGAGCCAATTTTCCTATGGTCTGCTTTGGTTGGCACGTCCCAAAGGAATGCGTAACAGACGTCCGCTCGAGCATACCAGGCATACATCGAGTTGATCGCCTCGGAGAGTTCCGAGCTACTCGATTTATCGATGCAGCAGGAGTCTATCCAGATGTACCGGTAACCAGCACGGCGGGCCACCCTACACGCCTCTCGGATCTTCGGTGAAAGCTCGAGCTCATACCAAATGGAATCGATGGGCCACTGGGAGTGGTCGTCTGAAGACGCCAGAGACTGGTCTAGATCAAACGACGGTCGAAGCGGGAGGGCAGGAATATGGTTCTCGCGGGAGCCGTTCCGGCTTGCAACAGGCTCTGCGGACGGACTCGATAATGATATAGGGCGGAAGCGACTGTTTGTCACTGAGCAAAAAGCCACAAGGGTAAAGGGTGGGGATCACGAACCGTGAAATCCGCTTCAATGTCTGGCCAAATGGTAGGCACGATTTCCCGAGATCAGGAGATCGACGCGCAGCCGCTGTAAGCGGGGGAGAGGTTACCAGAGGGGCTCGCTTGTCACTAGGTGTTAACACGTCCTGCCAGTGGGGACGCCGGATGTTCCGGGAGTACTGCTCCTGAATCTCCTTCACCTGCTCATGGGTTTGCTCTCCATCGCGGTTCCACGTGTGTGACAGGATGGCGTATACCGTTTTCCCGTCGTGCGGGTCCTTATCGACAAACTGTCCTGTTTCTGTATCTAGGAGGCGCATCTCGGGATGTTCTTCGAGAGCTGCTAAACAGTCATGGCCCGCAACGATCAGTACCTCACTAGCTATAAACTTGGTGACTCATTGATTACAGACCAGTGGATGCCGCACAGTCAGTTGGACGCTGGACAACGGTTGGCAGTTGCTACAACATATGTTCCACTCACTACTACCAGCGAATGCTGTCTTTCTCCCGCCAACAACACATGCCCGGCCCAGCCCGGCGAATGCCGCCCAAAACTTCCCATCCATATAAACCGCCCGCCGTTCGACCGCCCTCGCCCCAGACACGTCCTCCTCATCCCTCCTCGTCGCTCTCTACTGCTCTCTCCGACGGTCGAGGTCGCGATCGGATGCTTTCCCCCTCCAGGAAGGGCCCGCCTTTGCGCGGGCCCGAGGCCGTCGAGGGGGTGGTTTGCCGTGTCAGAGCGAGGCGGCCGCCGTACACATGGGGCCCCCCTCCTGTTGGGAAGTCAGCTCCTCTTCCCTGCACCAGTGGGAATGCAGAGCCTAGACGGCATGAGACAACAACCTTCTGGTTTCAATTTTGGGTTGACTTCAGATACCTGTGCAGCATCCTCGTCATAGCTGTTGTGTTGCACCGAGCGCACGGTGACAGCGGCGTTGTAGTTTGATGTATCGTATCGCGAGAACTCGACTGTTACAATGCGATATACCGACGAACATATACGAAATGTAAATGACGCGAGAGGGAAAGAACGAATCAAAAGAAACGCATACGGGGATTTCGACAGGAACTCAACAGCGGATTAAAAGCCGTACGTAGCGTCTACTATTACACTAATAATGTACCGTTCTCGGACGCCCCGACACCACCTCACCTCGGCGCAGCGTACCCTCCATAATACGCGCCGTACTGAGGAGCAGCGGTAGGCGTCGTCGGGGACGGCGTCCCCGGGGCGGAGGCCGCGCCAACAGCCGCCCGCATGTGCGGCGGCAGCGGAGGAGCGTACCCTGTCGCCGGCGCCGGCGTCGCCCCAGTCCACGGTGGAGGCTGGTACGCCGGGACAGGCTGCTTCGTAGACGACACGACGGTGTTCGCCACCGCGCGCTGCGCCTGGGGCTGCTGGGCGGCCGCCCCGGCGTAGTAGCTCGCGTAGCTCGTCGCAGCCGGGGCGGGCTGGGGCGTCGAGCGCCCCGAGCTGGTGTACCACGAGCCGTAGTACTGCGTCTGCGCGGTCGCGGCGTACTGCGCGTTCGGGTAGTGCGTGCCTGCGGCGGTCTGCGACGCGAGCGCGTTGTAGGCGAGGCTCGGGTAGTAGCTGCTGCTCTGCGTGGGGGGCGGGTACGTCCCGTAGCCCCGGTACTGCGACTGGTACGTTCCTGTGTAGGGGTAGGGCGTGTACGGGGGCGCCGCCGCGGTCGTTGCCTTGGGCGCGGGTGTGGCTGGGGCCGGGGTGGTCTTGGAGGGCGCGACTGAGCTGGCACGCACGTGCACCGTGGTGTCATCGCGGTAGGCAGTAGTACGACCCTCAGGGAGAGTCCCGTACCACCCTTCGGTCGCCGCTAGGGGTAGCGTGCGTTGCAGTTTGTGCAGAACGGATGCAGGAGGGATGAGTGGCGCATGTTCAGGATCGCCGTTGGAGGGCCGTGGTCTGAGAGACGCCAGGATAGCCAAGGAATCCGTGATACCTTGGGCTACAACGGTGCCATTAGTCGTTGTGCGCAAATCGATACCAAGATGGTTACGTACCGATATCCCACTCTTCCGACCCAACCTCCACGACGCTTGACCCGTCACCCTGTGAGCGTAGCCTCTCCAGCTGGAGCTCTTCCAGCCTTTCGAGCGCCTTCGCGTTCCGCTGCAGCAGCTCGTCGACCGCCTGTTCCATTTCTAGCGAGCGTAGAGCAGACTTGATATTCCGAACTTCCTCAGGCGAGAGGAGAGATTCCAGATCCTTGGGGAGATCATCGTCCTTGGTCGACGGTCCGGCAGTGGGCGGACTGTTACTGGTGGACCCGTCCTCCACGACATCACCCGCCCTCGGCTCCCCCAGACCGAGGAAAGCTCGCCGCTTGCCCTTCACCAACGACCGCAACCGCCCCTTCATCTGCTGGTAGAATATGACCTCACCCATGGCCACACGCCCGACTTCCACACCCTCCTGGTCAAAGCTGGGCGCGAAGCTCGCGTACGGACCATAGTCGAGGAACTTGCCGCAGCTCACTCGACGCGCCTGTGGCGGCTTGAGGGGAGGAACCCCCGGGGCTCGTTTGACGACGTAGTCGCCGAGCGTGCCCTTGTGAGCGAGCTGGGTCCCGGACGTCGACGGGAATATCGAGACCAGCTCGGCTTTGGCGGTGTGGAGCGACTTGAGGTCTTTGCTGGCGCCATCGGCGGTCGGGGCATCCGAGCTTGCAGAGGTCCACCAGTCGCCGGTAGGCAAGCGTTGGACGAGTGCGTACTTGCGTGGCCGCACTCCGGCAGAGGGAGCATGGGTAGAAGCGGGGGAGGGGGCTTCGCTTTGGACTTCGACGTCGGTGATGATCGTTTCCACGTCGAGAGGGACGGGGGCATTGTTCTGTGACGCCTGGTCGAGTAGAGATGTAGCGAGATTGCAAAAGCGGAGTTGTTGAGCTGCGGTCTCGGAGGGCCGGAAACGGGGATGGGAGGAAATAGGATGGAGTTGCTTGACAGCGGCCTTGAGTGCAAACGGCTGATAAGCTTTATGTCAGGAATAGAGCAACGAATCAGGTCGCACCCGGAGTGTTTTCAGCGGATATAAGGCGGAGTTCTTGAGGAGCGAACGCAGGGAGAGCATGGTTGTAGTCGAGGAGGAAGAGGACGGGCCTGAAGTTGGCTCGCCGGGGTCGGTGGATAATGGGAAAACACGGTCGAGGAGGCCCTGTGTGTCGACTCTGTGACGAAGGGGGGGCAGTTAGAGGAGAAATGAACTCGACGGAGTGGGCTACGCACGATTCGAGCACGTCGAGGATGTTGGCTGCATCCGAGCTCTGGATGGGGACATCTCCGCTGCTGGGCAGCTCGCCCTGTTTCCTCTCCTGGCCGCGGTTGAGTACGTCTGGAGAGGTGTCCTCTGTGGAGTCGGTGCGAGCGTGCTTGGTGGGAAGAGAGTCGTCGTTGTCTGGATTGGAGGTGCGTTTGCGCTTCTTGGACGCGCCTTTACGAGAGGCGGGGGGGCTTGTGTCGGGTTTGTCGTTTTCGTGGGTGGTGGTCGAGCGGGTGGCCCGAGCCATGGCGAGGAGAAAGGGTGGGCAGGATTGACGCCGCGTTGGCGAGGAAGACGCGCAGGTGGCTGGACGAGAGCTGCTGCCACAGACCAAACGCGTCGAGCAAAGACGCGTCTCGTGCAGGCGAATCTCCCCTGCTTACGCCTCGTCGCTGCTTGGGTGGGAGACAAGCGCTGTCGTCGGAGATGGCCCTCGCTTATCCCTCTCCTTCCAATCTCAGATACCTGTCGTCTTCAAACTCCGCATCCAGCACCCTCACCTCATTCGGTCGCCGCCTGTAGCTCTTCGCCGCCACCACATCGTCCTCATCCTGAGGCCTCTCTGTTGGCCATGGCTTCCAAACTAGCGCCTGCCATCAAGCCCTTCCTCCGAGGGCACCAGCACTCCCTCCCCGCTAATGGTCACGGCGCCTTCATCCCTCAAATCCGAAAATTGGTCTTCGAGTTCTGTGACAACTGGACTTCCTCGGCCAACCTCCGCACATACATCCACAATCACCTCGAGCACGTCGCACGCGCAAACCCCCATGTAGAGTTCGTGGTCAGGCGGAGGAGCTGTCGCGAACCTGTCATTCGCGGTTTCTACAGTACGTCTGTCGTGTCTCATTCCCTGCGTTTTGGTCTGACAACTTTCCCAGTCAACAACCGGGACAAGGTCGTTGGTCTCAAGGACTTTGAGGTCACCGGGATTGAGAAGAAAGTCCAGCTTTTGCTCGACTCTTCTGGTGCGAAGATCAAGCCTCTCAAAAGGCTCACGGTCGAGAGCAGGACGGAGGCACCGAGGGGTATCTGGAGCGGGCTGCATGTCGAAGAGCCGTTCAGGATATGATGCTTCGTTTGGGCGTACGCCCCGCGGGACGGTCTCAGTACGTGTAGATTTACTTCATCTCCCACTTTATAGCGTTGGTACGTCATCTCTCCTGGACATGTACGTATCACTTCTGACCTGGCGCTCATGCGCGTCGTTCCAATAGTAATCAAGCCAGCTAACAGTCACTTGTCGCGAGCATCCCGATCATGTCCGGCAGCCTGTGGCCGTATCCTGCCAGGCTATCCGATCACGGAGACACTTGCACAGGGAAGGTCACCATTTCGGCCACACGTGACGCTTCCCTTCGCCATCTGTGCCATTCGAAGCTCTGTATGCGTTGCCTGTGGCTTGCATATTCCCCATTCAACCCCTATCTTCCCTCATGCCTCCCTCTTTCCGATCCGATCAATGTCAATGGAATGTGTATGGGATGAGAAGGTGTTGACCACCTACCTATTCTTGCGAAGAGACAGCCCTTCCGACCGTTACCACGTGAAGTAATTGCCGCTGTGGGCTCGAACACGCAGCCTCGAGGACCAGAGCAATTACAACGGTCAAATAGAGCAGCATAAACACCCTACTAGTGTGCTCGAGGTGCTGGGGCAAGAATGCCCCGATTGGTGAAGAGCGTCGGCGGGTTCGCGGTTTGCCGCTCGCACGCGGTGGTGACGTCTCCTGCTCTTGTTCCCCGCTTCGCATCTCCTGATCGCGCCGGATGCGCCCAACCCCACAGGAAACTTCATCCTACATTAGGTAAGTTGGAGAAGTCAAGAACACCCTGAAAGCCTTGCTGTGATAGCAGTGTGCGTAGCAATCGTGTCTCTCGCTTCGGCTGCCTCGCGCTGACACTATTCCCGCAGTTTCACAATCAGTCCGTTATGTGCTGTAAAGTGTGTTGCCCGTGTCCAATGGAAATGGACTGGATATCACCGGCTTCTCAAGACGGCGCTCCGGGCGCCTCTCCTTGCCTCTCCATCTCACGATATCCAGTCCATTCCTCACAGCCAATCCCTCCGAGACAGGAACACACCTTCCTGCGAACGGGGCCTGAAGTCCATACGCCGTCCATTCCGCCCAAGATGAGAGCATTCTCAAGATCCCTGCCAATCCCCCTAAGAGGTAATCTCGGTACGAGGCCACGTGCCTCGTGCTCGCTTCATATGATACACGCCTTCGCCACGATGCCTCCCCACGAAGCCGCTGACTCGGACGGCCCTTCTATCTGTGCTTCATCCTGACGCCAGCCAGACGCGTGCATAGTAAAGACCGGCCTGTTGTCCGAAACAGCGGGGTCACTGCTTGCCTCTGTCCATTTTTCCCCCCTGCCCTCGCTTGAGTGAGTTCTCAACTTTTCTCTTCCTCTCCCTCTTGTCCCTTCTGCATAACTCATTCCTTCCCTGCTCGCAGCGTTCGTCTCGAGCAATGCAGAATCCAAACAGCTACTACGTGGTGCCTCAATGTGATGGGCGAGTATGGGCGGATTGGCAGCAATCAGGGAGGGATCGAAACGTGAGTAACATCCCTCCTCTGTCCTCAATCAGTGTCCTTGAACCCTTCCCTAGTACTCTTGTGCCAGTAGCTCCTCGATGACACTTGGGGAAGGATCGGCATCATCTTCGGTGCGTGAATCATGCTTTGTACCATCAACAACAAAGTTAGACTGACACGTTCATAACAGCGCCGCAGCCGAATGAAAGACGTCACACAATGCGATGCTATCCCCATCTCCTACACCTTGGTAAGTGCAGCTTTCCATCCTACTAGTGGAGACGGACCCTCAACGGCGACCCTTGAAGACCCCACCCACGCCCTCGACCACGGATAGCGATGCCTCCTCATCCCAGATATCGATGGAGTCCATACCGGAATACGACGAATATCCAGAGATACCCTTTGTCTCCGCGGCGATCAGCAGCCCCGATAGGTGGATGTCCGCCGATCGTCCCGCCGAAAGCGTGCGCGCAGACACCGTCATCTCGCCCACGTCGTTCTGGGCAGGGATCATCGGCCTACGCCCCACCGCGTCCAAGTCCTCGACCGACACCAGCACCAGCACCAGCGGCAGCTCCCCCGTCCTCGCCCACACCTCCGAGCGTCTCTTCGCGCCCTCGCGCGCGTCCCGCAAGCGCGCGGGCTCCGTGTCGTCCATCGCGTCGTCGCGCACGCGGCCCGCCCCCGCGAAGTCCATCCTCTCCTCGGGCGCGTCCGTGAAGACGCGGCGGCGGAAGGCGCCCTCGGTCAAGTTCCTCGACGCACCCACGATCCACTACGACGATGACGAGCATGACGACTGCTATTACGACGACGACGACGAGCACGAGCCGAGCTCGTGCATGTCCCCGCCCCCGCCGAAGAAGGCCAGGGGCCTCTCCGGCTTCTTCTCGTTCAAGTGGCTCTTCGGGTCCTCCTCCGAGCCCGCAGCATCTCCCTCCTCTTCGCCTTCCAAGGCTGCGCCGAAGAAGACGCACGCGAGGCTGGTGCGCGCGAGCCGGCCCGGAACGCCGATGGCGGCGCAGGCAGCGCGGCCCGCGATCTCAGGCCCGTTCCCGCTGTGGGACTCGACCCCGCGGCGCGTCGGCGCAGGAGCCGGGGACGGCGCGGGGAGCCTGCGGTCGACGAAGTCGAGCGCGAGCTTGCGGTCCGTGCGGTCGTGCGGCAGCAGGCTGCCGACGCCGACGTATTGGCCGAGGTAGCCACAGGCGCAGGCAGCGGGTCTGTCCTGCCTCGCGCGCTACTTCCGCTACTCGGCGTGCTGCGGACTTCTTGCGGACTTGTGCTCTCCGAGGAGACGCGCTCGTTGCGTGGCCCGCCTCTTCATTCCGTTCCCGTCCCTGCGCCTCCTCATCGCCATCTCATCCCGATCACCACCATTCCCCGTCCATCGCACCCCGTCCTCCACAGGCAACGTTGGGCCCCTCGAGTGATCAACGAGGGGCCCGCGCATGCCTCCCGGATACCTCCCCCCTCCACCCGTCCACCCTCGCAGCGATTTGACATCGCGGACGCCCCCCCTATGCTTGCGTTATGCACTATGATGGAAACTAGTTGTCTGTACCGGCGGTGGGTGTGCTGTCGCGCGTCAGGTGTACTGCGTACATGGCGATCGCGTCGACCGCTGCGTCCGCTTGTGGTATCGTCGTTCGTGCATATGCATGCTTGTTCTCGTGAACCTTCTCGTGTGATATGAGCGGGAGTTCTTCGAGAGGCGATCGACTTGACTTCAACGCGTGAGCCTTGCGTGGTATGGGTCCTATTGCCCAGGTGCAGTGGTGAACGGTTGTGCACCGTCACCCCGTGGAGTATCTGCAGAGGTCTATAACCAAGTGTGCATGAGATGATTGACTTTCCAAGTAGAGCGCTCGTGGTGGCATTGACGGTAACCGGTAAGCGCTCTAACTCGTCCCGGACAGAAGGTGGCGCTCCCAGGGTCATAGTGCAGTGAGGGAGATGTTCCTCTTCAAGGGTCTGAGCCAAAGTAAGCAGTTGAGTATACTAATGATGGGCTGTCGGCACCCTGAAGTTATACTCGAGCAATTAAATTGAGCGGAGCGCAACGACCGCAAGCATCTATACTGCTACGTACTGCATTGCACCTGGCAAGAGGGCTCGCTATATATGCCTGGTACTTATAAGTGGGGAACCAGCGGCCACTGTGTCGCGTGGGTGATACTTGATAGGACAGGCCAAATGCAACACAGAACGCGTGCGATTCGTACACCCATGACAGGCCGGGTTGTTATCGGGCAGGTTGGCATGGCTGTCCGTGGTGATGAGAGGGCGCCTTGATAGGTCGAGATGCGCTGGGCAGAAGACAGCTCACGATAGCAGCAGTGACAGTATATAGGCCTTCTACCCGTTATCGGCGTGTCTTCCTCCTTGTCGCACTTTCTCTACTCTACCCCCCTCTTCTCGTTGATTATGCTGCTCGCAATGTCTGCGTGGTTTTCTGCTACGGAGCAGTGAATCTCCAGCGCCTCTCATCTGCGCTCCCAGCAAGAAAGCAAACAGTCGCGTCGCGTTAACCTCATCACGTGCTGCAATGGCCTATGCCGTTGGAGCAGCTTGACGTTTGTGGTTTTCGGACGGCACCCCTTGTACACCATGACCAGTCGGGGGCCCCGATGAGGGCACATTAGGCAACACTCTGCCAACGTTGGCGTGTTGCATTCGGAGGCTTGTTTCTGCATGGTGCTTGGTAGTCTGCGGTGTTTGACATCCTTGGACGGTGAGTGTTGCACATGCGCGGCTATAGTGACGGCGTCCTTATCTCTGTCCAGGGGCGGTATGGGCGTCTAATTCGGCCTTATCTGTGGCAGCTGGGGTTTCGCCGCGCGGTTAGCGATCGCGATCACGGAAGGCCGAAATCAAGTGGCCAGCATTGGTTGGCAGCACACTCCTCTTCCAGGCCTCACGACAGCGGTTTCTTCCCACAGACAGCGCAAATGTACGACACTTCTCGCAGACTTTGTCTGTTTGAGGCCGCTCACGCGACCAGTGACCAAGGTCGCCACAGAGAGCTTCTTCGCCATTCTATCTGCGAGGCGCGCTCCATTGCTCCAGAATCGAGTTTGGGACAGACCGTGAAGTAGGCAAGATTGACCCATAGCAACAAAATGGCTGGACGGACAGCGCCGTTCTAGTAGCTTGGTATGGATCGTGCTGTCATCGATCGGACATCGGGGAATATGCGGCGGACCCAGGTTTTTTCATCCTCAAATGTGCCCGGGTCCTTCCAGGGCCCACAGCGCTCAACGGCGAGGGGTGAATAGATGACTAGGTCAGGTCATACCTACGGAAACGGTCGGGTGGCCGTTCCCAGATCACTGCTGGCTTGGCTCCAGCACCCCCGCACCACTGTCCCTGCCTTTGACGCCGTACAACTCGACCTATCACCGTGGCTATAGCGGTTGTTAACGATACCCCCTTCGACCATGTCTCGCTCTCCTCACCTAGCACGATCCGGAATCGCACTCCGTTAGTCTCGAACACAATCCTCATGTAAATTCGCACTGACGTACATGCAGGGGATGTAAACAGCCAGTGAGTGTCCTCATAGCTGAACCGGCATCAAACCTCCATAAACTATGGTCCAGGTATGACGGCGGAGACATCGCCTTCATCGTCGTGTGTGGCATTCTCGTGTTCTTCATGGTCCCCGGAGTCGGTAAGCGCACTAACTGCCGCTCGGGTCAATACACGCGCGTGCTGAACGCTCGGCCCCCTCCTTTAGCGTTTCTGTACTCGGGTCTGTCTAGGAGAAAGAGCGCACTTTCATTAGTGTGGGCAGTTGCCGCAAGCAACGCCGTGGTCATTTTCCAATGGTGGTTCTGGGGGTACTCGCTCGCCTTCTCTCCGACGGCGGGCAATGGCTATATCGGAGACTTACGAAGCTTCGCGCTCCGCAAGGTTCTCGGTGATTCTAGTCCAGGATCTCCCTTGATACCGGAGCTGCTGTACAGCTTCTACCAGATGGAGTTCGCCTGCGTCACAGTCGCGATTCTGATGGGTGCGCTCGCGGATCGCGGACGTGTATTCCCCGCGATGGTCTTCGCATTCATCTGGATGACCCTGGTCTACTGCCCAATTGCTTGCTGGGCATGGAACGTCAACGGATGGGGTTTCAAGTGGGGCGTCCTTGACTACGCCGGTGAGTTTCCGTGCTTCTCCTGCTCAAGTGGGACAACGTCATTGAAGGTGGCTGGCGCAGGTGGAGGCCCAGTCGAGATCGGAAGTGGAGTCTCTGGCTTAGCCTATTCTTGGGTGCTCGGCCGTCGGAGCGAACGCGAGCTTCGCAACTTCCGGCCCCACAACGTCTCTCTGGTTGGCCTTGGTACCTTCATCCTGTGGTTCGGGTGGCTAGGTTTCAACGGCGGCTCCGCGTTTGGCGCGAACCTGCGTGCGATCATGGCGATATGGAACTCGATGATCGCGGCCGCCTTGTCCGGGATCGTCTGGTGTCTGCTCGATTTTCGCATCGAGCGGAAGTGGTCCATGGTCGGCTTCTGTTCCGGTACCATCGCTGGATTGGTTGCTGCTACTCCTGCATCGGGGTATATCCCGCAGTGGGCCGCTGTGATCATGGGAATCATCGTTGGGGCCGTCGCCAATTACAGTACGAAACGTACGTTCGCCGAACAGTCTCTCGCCTACACGAGGTTAATGCTGTCCCATAGTGAAGTTCTTCCTCCGTATCGATGATGCGCTAGGTGGGTATCATGCTATAGGGCAGGTGATCAAACTCGCTGATAATGCGTCTAGATCTGCTTGCCGAGCATGCTATTGGCGGCATCCTCGGGCTTCTCTTCAACGGGATCTTCGCCGACAGCGAGATAATCGCTCTCGATGGCGTGAACACCTCAACCACCGGCGGATGGCTAAATCGCAACTGGAAACAGCTCTACATCCAAATCGGCTACATCGCCGCCTGTGTGGCATACTCCTTCGTAGTGACCGCCGTCATCGCAACGGCGTTGGATTCCGTCCCGTGCTTGCGACTCCGCGCGACTCCTCACGAAGAGTCTTTGGGTATGGACGATGCCGAGGTACGTCTTGGTCGCTGTGCGGCTCAGCAACCAGCCTCACTCTGGCACAGATTGGCGAGTTCGCGTCCGACTATATCGAAGTTCGCCGCGACTATACGGACTGGACGCCCCTTTACAATGGTAAAGGATCAGACAGCGGGTCTGAAACGACCCCTCCTGCTGCCGGCGACCGTCATGCTGTTCCCGACAGTCAAATATCCCGAGCACCGACGACTCGGCCCATCGCGAACGGGGAGTCCAAGCCTGCTAATGGTGCGCTCCCGTTCATCTCGGAGAAGCCGGAAACAGACCACTTGTCATCGACGAGTGCCTCGCCCTGACCGGGCGAAAAGTAGCGTGTATGGACTTTTCTAATCGTAATGCAGCCATGCAATCGTGCCAGGTGACGTGCTAAGTTTGTGTTGTTGTGTATGGGCGATGCCTACGAGTTGGTGACCGGATGTCCGTTCGTCCCATATCCAGCTGGGAGTACCCTCGTTGTATCACTTTAGAGTTTACTCAAGTTTTTATCGGCTTGATTGCCATGGCGTCACAGTGAGTGCTAGTGTGGTGTGCGTTATACCGTAGGGCGGACGTTGTTGGTCCCTTATGTGAAATGGCAAAGACGTCGACCCAGCGGCAGATGCAAACTGGAGGGATCTCCGAGATGCCGAAGTGACGGCCATGTGAAACGCCCGTCATCCCGCACAATCCAACCTCTAACTCTTCACCACCTTTTGTTCTTATACCACCAACATCTCAACACGATTGAGTCATCCTACTCCAGCCTTCATGTCTCCCATGCGTACACGAGGGCAAATGCGCGCCAGCGCGGTCCCGTTGCCAAGTTATCGAGCCGACCCGCCGTCTTCCCGGGCCCCAAGTCCTACTATTGCATCACAACGGCTCACGCCCATCAAGAAAGTCAAACGTCGCAAGCAAGTTCTCCCAGTAGTACCGCTCGGCAAGCAACAGGTCCTTGCGGATCGTTCCTCACGCATCAACGAGATGCAGGACGCAAAGCGTCGTCGCGCATCGTCTTTCCACCCTGCCTCCGCATCACTGTCCAAGGGGACTCCAGTCAGGAGCAAAATGATAGGGCCCGGTCGTCGTACGAGACCCAGTAATCACGTACGGTGGGTGTACAATGCTAATGGTGGTCGGGTGCCGCTCGCAACAGTGCGACACTATGAGGTACATACAGATTATGTGCGCTTGTATTACATCTCAGAGGCGATTTGGGCTGACGTATGGCACTCGTAGTCCCAGGATAATGGCTTGGAAGCACGACATGTTGTCCGACCGCGACCTATTCTGACGGTCTACCGTGATACCCCGCCGGCCACCCCTCAGTTTCAGTCCGTGACCAGCGATAGTGAAAATAGCTCCAGCAGCACCTTATGCGACCAGACACCATCGTACACGCCTTCTCCAGTTCCTTCTGGCGTGACGTTACGCAGTCGTCGAGGCTCATCTCGGGCCAGCCTTCAGTCAGCTCGGCTCGACTCTTCCCTGGTCGATGATAGCGACACATCTGCTGACGATTCAACATCCGGCGGGTCCTTCGATGCTGGTCCCTCGACCTCGACCCGACTACAAGCGATACGACCTACAGAAATTACACCTCATGTTCATGAAGACGCTACGAGTTCTCGAGCTCTTCCCCGTTCTGTGGCGCCCGGACTTGCTCCTCCTCGGCTGGCTGGGACAAGTACTTTCCGTGCCTGCCGAAGTGCTCACAATACTTGGAACGCCTACGATGCTCGAGTCTATCCTTCCCTCCACGCTTTCGACGACCAAGATGCGAGAAGGTGGCTTCCGCAAAACCGCGCGAACCGCTATTTTCTGATTTTCTGCATGGTTTACACACCTGTTCTCCTGCCGCTACTGGCGCGCGCCTTGGGGCTTGTCTGACTTGGACTTTCGTGGCTTTGACACTCGATACCCTGGCTCCCTCGATTCTAGCGACTACTTCCGGACGTCTTCTAGCGAAACCTTCTCTGGCGAAACCTTCATCAATGCGCGTGTATCTGGGGCGTGTTATGTTGTATTTCTAATAGGTTTTCTTGTTCATTTCCTGACGTGTATGCTAGCGTCTTGTGTTGAGTGGATGTTTATCTGTCGGACAGTTGGAGTTGAATCATCGTCATGCTCGCTAGCAGAAAGATACGAAGGGAGGCTTGCCTTTCTTGGAAGCCCATATGGAGTTCGGACAGGCGCGCCGACGGGCCGCTTGAGCCAAAGCTTCCGATGCTTGGTCAGTACGTCACGGTCCTTGAAGGCCTCTGTAACTTGGAATGAAACCGCCATGACTACTTCGGATGCAGCTTCAGATGTGGTCAATCACAATCCGACCTCTATGCTTCAGTCACTTCCCCCCGAAGTCCTGGAGCGTGTGCTGACGTTCAGTAATCCTCGAGATGTCTCGGTACGAATAACATCCCGCTGTTCACCAATTGCTTTGGATGATGGTGCACGGAATGACGCTGACTTATACCGCAGCGATTTGCACAAACCTGCCGCTTTGCGCGCAAACTTGTCTACGAGCCCAATGATCAGTTCCTGTGGCGCGAGCTCTATCTCGGACGTCCATTTGACGACCTCCGGAACGCGATCCCCATACCTAGAAGGCAGTCTGATACCTCAGAACCTGAGGAGGAGTTTCCAATGCCAGACATCAAAGGCGTTTCGAGCCCTCCATGGCAGCAAGAACTTCAACGGAGGACGCAGGCAGAACTCGTGGCAGCATCGGGCACTCGTAACGCTCGCCTCCTACAGAAAGCGTACGAGGGATTCCTTGGGGCAATAGAGACCGCTACCCCTGCGATACCCACTGGAGACCAAGTCGAGGAGAAACAGCCCGAGAGCAAGCCGGCCGATAAGGATAATGCCACCGTCGGTGTTCGTTCGGAAAATCTCCATTGGGTCGACCGCATCCTCCGCAAGACCCGAGTGCTCGACCTCGTTCCCGCATACACAGGCGCGATCGTGGACATCCCGTCCCTGGAAGAGCTCGAATCGGCTTCTACGCCTTCCGAGTCGTCTGATCAGAAGGAATCTACGGATAAGCGGCCTAATTCCACGGCCGACAAGTCTACCCAAACCGTTGGACTCGGATCTGCGAAGGTGAACGATGCATACGACGCCTCGGACGTCTGCTGGATCCCCGCGCACTTCCGCGAGGTGCACCAGATGCGCAGCCGCCTGCGCGCATACGTCGCGCTCTCCCACGAAAACAGTTTCGACGTCGAGAGCCGCGCGCGCATGGGACGGCTCCGGAGCGCGAGCCGTGCGTTCGTGTACGACATGCGCAAGTACCAGCAGCAGACGCTCTGGGGGCCGTTCCGCCTCGGGGAGGACGAGCGGACCCTGCTGGTCGACTGGGAGCACATTGAGCATATTATGAACGTCGTGAGCCTGAAGCTGCGTGAGGTGCCGCTGGCAAGCCTGGGGTATTACAAGAAGGCTCCCTTCCACCTGGACGCGCTACGTGCGAACACGATGATCGACGCACACAAGCTCCCCAAGGACGACTGGGCCGGCGTGACCGGCAGGTGGCGACGCTTCGTCTGCTTCATGGACTATCGGTAGGTACCTGGTAATTGCCAGCCTCTTCCGGCAGAATTGAACCCACGCACCCCGCAGGGACCTCTACATGTACAACGTGAGTCTCTTTCTGCTCCCACCGTTACCGTCCTTGTGCACGCTGATCCTCTTGGGCAATGTAGTACAGTCTGCTCCCGCCCGGCCCACATGACCCTTCATTCTTCGACGATCCTTTCGACGAGGCCCTCCGTCCTGTTGAGCTCCACCTCTCCCTCATCTCCCGTGAAGACTACTTCCGTGAGCCCTCCCGGATTCCCATCGACCCTTCCGTGCTTGCGTCGTCCCCTGAAGCCAAGCTTCCAGGGAAGAGGTCGATTGGGGACTGTGAAGATCCCGTATTCCCAACGCTCTATTTCAAGGGCGTCTCTCATGGCGCGGCGGCGACGGTCCGCGGGAAGGTCAGCGTGCTCTCCGACGGTGCTGTGAGATGGCAATTTGTGCGTGAGGTCATGGTTTATAGTATAGAGTATAACGGGTCGCGATATCTAACGATGCGCACAGGTCACGACGTATGATGGAAGGATGCAGTGGAGGTATTTCTGAAGTTCTCGTATAAGTATCAATCGGGCGACGTCTGATGTCCTGACTTCAGTGCGGAAGGCGTCCAACTCGGCCATGTTCGCAGCGCGGCAGGCATCGCCGGAATCTGGACCGGTGCCCACCATGACAGAGGTACTATTTGACGACTAACGTCGACGATCGTTCATGCTTACTAACCTTTCAGACGATCCTGCGGGTCCGTTCTGGATGGTCAAGGTGAACGATAACCTTCCTCCCGGTGTTTTGAATGCACTATACTAGATCGCGAAATTGAAATGCGCGTCCTCTCTTTGCGTCTTAATCTGCCCTCGTGATTCGGCGCTAATTTTTTGCATTACAACAGTTGCAGGATCATTGACGTTTTACAACAAATGGACAAGTGCTTCGGATATTGTACAACATCGTCACTTCTTCTACACGAGGCCTTTCACTCGCAGGGGATACCGCTGACCTTGCTGAAGTACCCGCAGAGACGGCCGTATAGGTCCTCGTAGCTGCACATATATCAGACAATCGGTACCATCGAGAAATATGTGGCCACGTACTGCTTCTTATTCTCGGCGTCATTGAGGTCCGCACGCGCCGCCGCGAAGCCATGGAAGCTAACACAGCCGTGTCAACTAACCGTCTGGAAGCAAATAGAAACAGGACACGTACGAATCATAGTGCTTGTAGTCGCTCTTCTCCGAGATGGGTTTCTTCGAGACAATCTCCAGAATCTGCTTGATCTCGTCCACCGGCTCGTCGTTGCTGGGGTAAAGCCCCAATGGGATGCTGAGCTTGGTGACATCATCGTGAGAGAGCATCCTGCAGTAAATGGTTCAGGTTGGAAGTTGACCGTCGAGTAGCTAGTCACTTACGCAGGATGAACAGCCGAGACAGCATCCAAAGGAGTGGCATCCTGAGAGCCAGCAAGGATTGTTACCTTTCCACCTATCGTGTCATTAGCGTCATGGAGACTTCAATATGGGAAATGAAGGTACCCCAGCAGAACCCGTAGGCACCAACAAATTCAACTCCCTCAGACTTGAGGGTCTTTGCGACGTTGATGAGTCTTGCGACACCGTCGGTAGGCTTGGCAATGCCTCCGAAGAACTCCTGTAGCTTCTTCTGCTCCTCCGGCGTCTTCGGTGGGAACTGATCAACGGGCCACGGTTCGCCCGGCTCGAAGAAATCGGGCATGAGGACCTGAGCCTTCAGCTTCTCAGCGAGGATATCAGCGCCTTGCTGGGTCTGCGGTTTGAAGCTAAGACGTCCGGCATCAGCATGGAACTGCACGTCTGCTCCGGAGTGCGACGCTCACCCAAAGATATCGTAGACGCAGACGATGGCGACCTTCCCTGGGGTCTCCGGGCCAGTCACGTAGACCTGCGTCGCGCACTTCAGATCCTCCGAAATCACGCCAATCGAGCCCAGTACTGACCTTGCTGAAGCCGGCATAGGGCTTGTACTTGCCCTTCGGAACGTAGTCAGACTTGACAGGGGCGATGGTGCAGCAGGCGACGTTGGTGTTGTGCACGGTCGACATCCTGGAGGTGCGGAGGGTGGGATAGAGGTGGTGGGCGAGTTGTCTCAATCGTGAAAGCATCGATGACGACATGTCTTTCCCTCAGGCTGTCTATAAGTACCGGCTGAGTACTCGGCATCTGCCGGCCAGCGGTATACCGGCCGGCGTCTAGGGATTGTTTTCTCGTCTCGACCCTCACCACGGCTTGGTGCTTTGCTTCGCCTGGCTACTCCACGTCTCTGTCTTCGCTACAAGTGACATGGGGTACCCGTGGACCAAGAGGGAAGATTAGGCCTTTGCCGGAGTTCAATTAAGCCGGAGCGCTTCTCAGTCCACGTCGCGACTCGTTGTGCGTGGTGTGGGAAGTGCTTGACTATGTAGCTCGCACATACTTCAAATATAGTTCAGCCTTGCTGTTCCTCGACGAATCGATGCGCTGTGCCTGCCTTATTCACAGAACCAAAGTAGACGGTACGACCTCAAGCACCCACACAACGGTTATTGACAATGCCATGTCCTGCATATGATGTAGAAATTTTCGAAGTCAGACATTAGTGTATAGTAGAGTACATGCATAGCGTGGTAGTTCTACGGGAAAAGTCAAGACATGAGATAGAACATGATGTCGAGACGGCGAAGGACTATTGATGACACAGAGAGGAGCGAGGAGGACGAGCTATGTCCATAGGTGTAAGACATGTCCGAAAGCCTGTAATCTACTTGCCGGAGCCATATCTCGGCTCATACGACGGAGCGTACACAGGTGTGCGGGAACCACCTACGCCGTACGCCTCGACGTTGCCATAGTTCGACTGACTCGTTAATGGCACGTTTCCGCCGTCGTAAGCAGGCTGATCCTTCGAAAGAGGTGTGATGACGCCGACGATTGCGTAGATGGAGACCGCGATATACTCCATAAGGACAGACATGACGAGGTATGCGCCCCATGAGGACGACGTCGAGCTGAACTTGGCAAGCCCCGAGTCGCCGTTGTTCGCGACCTCTTGTCCGTTCTGGAAGGAGACTGGGAAGGGGGCGAACGAGGATAGGACGCCGTAGGCGACGCGGACGGCGAGGAACGGAAGTGTGAACGTGATGGCGTTCAGGAGCTGGACCAGCGCAAGACCGTTAGTATGAATGCGAGGGATCGACTACGGGATTGAACATACCCTCCGGCGATATCTGAGAATTAGGTCCTTTTGCCGCCAGACGTAGAATGTTACGAGTGCACAGCCGACCCAGACGACGATGAAGAGGATGATGCCCGCGTGCCGGAGATCGGACCCGCTGTTCAAGCTGTCTTCGCTAGACGCACTGGCCATTTTGGTGCCACCGTAGATGGTGAGGACCAGTCCGATCGTGCTGACCAAAGTCAAGACCGCGAGGCCGCGAGTCATTACGAGCGTGTTGTCAAGAGAGTATTGGGACCTGGGTGTGCATAATGAGTATGTGGGAGAAACTACTCCAGAATGTATGATGCCTCACACTGTCCGGAGAAAGCCAAGCGTGGCGCTGAGCAGAGGGGCCAGACCAGCGGCCTCCAAGATGACATACATCGTCCTCTCGGTCGAGTTGCCAGGGTTGTTCTCTGACAAGATGTGGGAAACACCGCCGATGAGGCGGACTGTTGGATGGCAAAGACATCAGCTAAAATACCTCATGAGCAGAGGAGGAAGCGTCGACTCACTAAGTGCCAAGATCACCAAGAAAATCCATCCAGCGTTTCTGGCAAATCCATGTCGGAAGGAGAGGAATATGCCCAGGCAGAGGATGGGGATGTAAATGATTATCTCGATGATGGCTATGATACCACGAGCGTCGAGACCCATAGCGTTGGAGAGTAAGGTAAGAGAGAAGGAAAATATGAATCCCACAGATTTAGTAGGGCGGGGGGATGTAACTCCTGAAATTCAGCGAAGCCGGAGACTTTAAGCAACAGAACATGAGGTCTGAAATACTGTGCTCTAGGAACGGGTCAAGGATAGCTGTACCGCCGACGAGGTTGACGGTTAGTTTCAATTCACTGTGCCAGACGTAACGTTCGCCAGTCCTGTGGAAAATGTGCGGACTTGACATACCCGTACATACCTCCTTAGCGCAGCCGCAGAGCGCCATTGGTACGATAGCGGAGCCAGCAAGCAGGGATGGATAGCTTCCGGACCACACCTGTCGTCAGAAGGGTCGGGAGTGTGCCGCTGGATGCTACATGGTCACACCCTCGTGTTTTTCTAGCTTTGGTGGGCATCGCAATACTCGACATAACCGAGCAACGGACCGGAAGCAGGATCTCAATACTGGTGGTCGAAGACCGGGAGCAAGCCTTTCTGCGGAAGTGTAAGCGCTGGGCGTCTCGGTGTGGCGCGCACCCTGGAGTGCTGCGGGCGTTCTATCACCACGTCGGGTTCAACTTTACACGGATTCCGCTGCAGTAAAGTTCTGAAGCCTCGAAATGCGTCTTCCTCGGCGCGTTCCTTGGGAGAGCATAGCCGAGCTAGAACAAGTTTGCTCCTGGATATTCGCAGATGAAGCAGACCTGAACGCGAAGCAGCGCGCGATAGACAGAGTAAGTTTTCCTGGCCCTTGCTTCCGGACCCTCTTCGCTGAGTCTGCTCTCGTACAGCTGGCAGCATGGAAGGCGGCTGTGCATCTCCCTCATGCACTGGATTCCACACATGCGATATTGTCGGTGATTCTACAGGATGGCACTGCAGCGACGTCCTCGTCGTATTTGTCTCTGCGGATGAGCTATGCCTCTGCGATTATACGGCTCGTCAACGGTTTAGTGGACCCCCTCCAGCTAGGGGCGTACGCCAGATCAATTCACAGCATCGCACAGCAGCTTGGGCTCCCCGCATGGTTCGTCGAGCTCCGCCACGCTGCGACTCACGAAGATCTTCCCAGCCTCGAAGTACTTCGGGATGCCGCGAAACAGGTAGGCGTGTCCCTCTATGAGATGCGTCGGAATGCTCATCCTGTAAACTACGCTCTAGGCAATGGCGTGGCTGCTTGATAACTACTTCCTTCCGACCCTCAACCCAGTGACACCGTCCAGCGGAGCTGCCCCTCCACTGCGTCCGCTCTCTTCGCCCCTCAAACAATACAAGGCGATCATGAAGGCGACCACACGAGATGCGACTCTCCACGTCGAATACCGTGCAGAGATTACAAAAGTCATGCGAGACATCGAGCGCTGGATAGCCGAGGCAAAAGTTGCCTCCGCGTCCGCCGCCGGAGGTGTTCGCTGGGAAGACGGGCAAGAGGACGGAGACGAAGAGGACGTTCGCGAAAAATGGGCGCTCGATAGATTGGCGGAGGTTCTAGTCGACAGGGGCATGCTTGTTCCACTCTCCAAGAAGTCAATTCTCATTGTCGACCCGTATCTCGTGTACTGACAGGGCTGTCGATCGTGTAGAAAGAGGATATCCCCAGACCAAGGTTCACTGGCCCTGCCGCGCTCCTCCATCGCAATATGGTCTCCGCTCCTCACCCACCTGCAATCTCTCCATCCGACATTACCTCTGCACCTCGTGAACGCGATCACCTCTCACTTGTCCCGCGCCCATACACCGCCGTGTGATGCGGACTTTGGCGCAGAGACTGTCTCCTTGGCGGTAGCCGCACAAGACCCCAAGGATGATCCCACGTACGATCTGTGCCTTGCAAGCTGGGCGAAGTGGCTGGCGGACAACTGCCCCACATACGTCGCCGATCCAGAGGACGCTGCGGAACTCAGGGAGAGCATAATTGTGCGGATCGTCTCGACTCTAAGCCCAGCACGCGTCGACGGCAGCACGTCCAAGGCGTGAGTGTTATCGCGTTTCTCTAACCGCACCTAATGACAGTGCTCATGAAATACATTTGCCAGTGCGAACGCGTTGCTCCGATCCGTCAGTGCAGAGCGGCCAAGGCTCGCGGCAGCTCTATCAGTCCTCACCCAGATGCCTGCGCAAGCGTCCCAGGTTTGCTCTTTCGCCGCCCATCTCCCACTACCCTGCTCATATTCCTGGCACATACAGGACTGGGATGACAACATCGTGAACGTCATGGACACTCGCCTGAATACACTCCTCGCCCTCTCGAACGGCTCGACTGAAGACGAGACAGGCTCCCCAGGAGCCTCGATCGCATTCGCCGAATCCACCCAGCTTCCACCGGGCTGGCGGAGACTGACCGAACGCGACGGCTGGCGGCCAGCTCCCATCGGTATATACGTCGCCTGCGCGTGATACGCCATCGCACACATGTAGATGCTGTCCATTACAATACAATTGTACCTATGCGGTCTACAACGATTAGAGGCTGCTATATCACAGAAGATACGAGAGAAGCAATAAAGATGGTAAGCGGACGAAGACGAAGAATCCCAGTCCATGGACTCCGCACAGGACGGATAGTCATATGTCCGGTCTAAAAGATGTAGTACGATATATGCATAGCCGCGAAATAGAAGCACAAAGCACACTGCACCAATCAACGAAAAGCGTACGCCAGAGCACGAAAACGAAAACTGGAGGTCCGGACTAGTAGCTACGACCTCGACGGCGAAGGGTCGCTATTCGAGGGCATCCGTCCCTGTTTTGCCACCAGCGGCCGTGGCTGTCTTCTCTGCCCATCCGGCGGCGGCGGCAGCGCCTGAGGCGGGCGTCCCGGCCCCGGCGGATTTGAAGACTGCGCTGCGGACTCGTACTGCGGCGGGAGCTCGACCACCTGTGTCCCGTCAGACGTGAACACGGTCACGGGTGGGGGACGACCCGCGTCGTGGTGGACGACATACACCTGTTGACCTGAAGGCGAGGGGGCGACTGGCGAGCGGACACTGGGCGTGACGGTCGTGGTGGGAGACTGCTGGCCGCCGAGCGTGCCTAGGCTCGAGGAGTGTTCATGGCGGGGGCTCGAAGGGTCGTTGCGATCTGATCCCAAGGACGAGGTGGTGGCTTGCGCCGAGCGGCGGTGGGGGAACAGCCCCGTCGTGGAGTTTGGCGAGAAGTCGTCGAGGCCGGGAGTGGGCGGGAGGATGAAGGGTTCGATGTCGTGGGGGCCGCCGCGGCTTGGGAAGGTGCTCGAAGCGCTGGAAGATGGGTGGGTGAGGCCGTGCATGGAAGGGTCGAGCGGCTCCAGAGACTTGCGCCGGAGTGCGACTGCTCCGGTGCCGTAGCGCTGTTCACGCCGGCGGAAGAAGAAGAACGCCCCCACTAAGCCCACAAGGAGTCCGAGGAAGAGGGAGCCGAAGGCGACGCCGATCGCTCCCCCTGTCGAGAAGCCCTTGTCGTCGCTTACTCTGCAATCGCATGTTCAGCGAGTGGTCGGACATGGATACCAGAGAGCACTTACGTAGAGTCTAATAGGCATGTCGTTGTGCCATCGCCACCGACATGAAGGGGCCCGTTCGTCCATGTCCAACCAGTTGAGTCGATGACACTAAGCCAGAAAGGCAGACCAAATGCCTGACAATGACTTGAGCCTCTGGATGAACAAGGCACAGGGCCACACATCGCTCACCAGTGACACTGTCCAGTCCTGCGTGTCCATCGTGTTGGATGTGAAGTTGATTGGAGGTCGGAGCGCAGGTGCGATCTAAGGACAGTCAGGTTTAACCGATAGGACTGAGTGATTCAAGGTGCACATACAGTGTATGTGAATGGAGGGGTGCCGTTGTTTGGTTTTACTGTGATGTCGCTGCACTGTGGAGAAGATTTGTCTGTCCACGGCTGCTAGATTGGACGTTAGGCGACGAGGCCTACCTGGTTGATCCAACCATATTGTGACCATGTTCCATCCAGTGTCTTTGCCGTCACGTCCAATGCGCCCGCCGGATAGGTGAGATTTTGACAGACAGGCGACGAGCTGCCAGACGTAGGATACACGGTGTATATCTGCTGACAACCCCCCGTCACCCCATTGCTGGCAAACTGATGCGACAGTCAGACAATGCTCACGACCACAACACTACTTCACGCACCATGCATATTTGGAACTTCGTGGGAAGGTGTCAGTCCAAGTTTCCCCGCATAGAATGCATAGCCACCCACCTGCGTTCCAGGAATGAATGGAAGAGGCCAATCCTGATGATTCGGGAAGACTCAGATGATGGCCTGAGTGGATAAGGTTGACTTACAAATGACGAGCCGCTTCCCGCAGGGATCACGAAAGGCACGACGAATGCCCTTCGCGGGATCACAACATAAGATCAGAGGCACATGGGTGATTTGATGACCGGTCAAATCCACTCACGACGTGTAGACTTGAAGGTAGTACGGTGCCACGGGATTTGGCCTGGAATATCCGGACAGAATCGGTCAATCTAGGCAGGGAAGGAGGAAGAAAACTGGAGGAACGCACCCGGTGGCCGAACGTCTACCCCACGTTATGTGCAGCGTATCACATTGAGCTGCGCGGACCGCCGAAATGCCCGTCTGAGTTTGCGCGATACAGGATGTGAATGACGTATGACGCACCAGCTATGGGAATTGGTGTACTCTGATCTCCCGCCCAGTCAAATAGGAAACCCTGTGATCGCAAACGACGCAGCCATGGCGGTGAGTTTTGCCGATCGCCTAAGCGCAGTTCCTAGATGAAACGGGATATCCTTACCTGCTGCATGGCTTCTACAACCTTTGCGGAAACTCTGGGGAAGACATGACGTGTCCATAGCAAGTTGACTGCCAGTGCAATTATGATTGCACGGGTGCGTGAGGTTGACATAGATGTTTGACAGTGCGCAACGCTGGGAGCGTCGGTATTACTCGTTACGACAGAAGGTCGTGATCCGGTGCCGCCCTCGACCAGACAGACGGGTCCGAGGGACACAATGAGACAAGGAGTGACTGAGATGGGGGCGAGGACAGGCCAGCAGGAAGAAGAGGAATGGAGAGGGGGATGGGAGGGGCCTGGGCCAAAGGCGGTAAAGGCTGAGCAGACGAGCGTCCCTCCCGTGTACTGGGCATGTCTGCATGGGCGCGGTATTTCTGCCCGCTCGCGTGGCATTTCTTTTTCTCGCCTATGTTCTCTGTGGGCCGACATCACTGGCACCTGGAGACTCCATGGCCCGGCTAGTACTCTTGACTATTGGAGGTTTCTACCTCATCTTCCCTTCGCCCCTTCTCACCTCGTTACATCAGGTCCTGAGAGATTCTTCAGCAAGTTCTGCTCTTCTCTTTTGGAACAGTGACTTTGGTGAATGCGAGTTCTGCGCCTATGTAGCTCGTACTGTAGCTCAGTTCGCGGGCGGTGTTCATGCGGAGCCGCGGGGACCGGGCGCAGCCGATTATAGAAGCCTACAGATCTATGTAGAGATCTGAGCTAGACACTCCTCATCGTGCTTGGGTCCGCGGATCCCTTTTGCTCTCACTTCTACAACTCCTCTCATGCGCAGCCATACCTCTCTGCTTGTCTCTTTCCACAGACTGCGAAATCCATGTGTTCGAGGGGGCGACGAGAGATGCGGTGGTTTGTGTGCAACAAATAGATACCGTGGCCGCGCTCATCTACAGTGCCGTCGGGAATGCCCCAGAAGACGGGCGGTGATTAGCCTCGAATCCCTCGAAAGACATAAGTAGTAGTCTCTGCTTTGACGATCGTTGTAATGCAGCGGATAGCTCGATCCCTATCACTCATTACCCAAAGTTGTCAACAACGCGAAGTACGCCAGCAGCTCGAAGCTTCGGTAGCGACGACATAATAATCGCCTCCATCTCCCCAAAAAGCTCGAGCAGCCTCGCCTGCTCGATCTCTATCGTCACCCGACGCAATGCGCCATATCGCTCCCGCGCGAAGATCGTGTCGAGCGCGCTCAAGTCCCAGCACTGGTATCCGGGCCTCCAAGCGCCCACGTTCGCCGGCACATTGATGGAGTAACCGAGCTGGACCGTAACTTCGCGTATAGTGGGTGGTACGGCAGCGAGTATGGTCTCAAACGTGCCAAAGCTGGCTAGGAATCCACTCGCTTCCTCGTTTGACGTCTTCGTATCCGGAGCTCGGAAACGGAGGGTTTCGAGCTTGCCGCACCACCCTATGATCTCCCCGAGCAGCTTCCAGGTCGCGTACAAGTCTAGGTGAGGGAGGTCAAACACAGCTCCACGTCTGCGAACGGCTGCTCACACGCACCATCTTCAGGACATGTCTTGTCTGCCGGCCATATAGCGACGGCCTTCGGCCAGCGTATCTCGAGGTCCACGACGTTCGTCGCCGATTCCCGGAAAAAGACGTTCATGCGCGTCACGGCGTCCAAGGCGTGACGGTGTGGGATGGAAATGACGACTGTTTGCAATGAACCGGGAACAATACTTCGGTGGAAGAAATCGACATGGACTGCATGTGCGGTGTCGCTCTCGAACATAAGACGACGGACGCAGATGGTCTGGGCGAGGGCAGATGAATCGGCTTGTTGAAGATGTACGGTAAAGGGTGTCCGTGCTTGAAAGACCACCGTGTCAATGCAGTTGAAACGCGACAAGACATGATATAGTGCGGGTGGTGGCCGCTGTGCGGCATATTGATCTGTGTAGATGAAATGGAAGTGATGAAGTCTTGGCAAGGCTGAAGTCGGAGGCGCAGTCGCGTCGGTCCAGGTCAGGATCGGGGTGGTCAGGAAGACCAGCCTTCGCAGACCCGTGAACCTTGGGAGAAGCGTCGTTAGGGAGGTAAGATCCAGAGTCTCCGCTTCGTCTTCTCCCGGGTGTCGAGTGAGTGTCAGTGCAGTGATGTAGCACCCTATAGCCGGATGGCCTTCTATGAGGCGACAGAAGCGGGCGTACTGCGACTGTCCTCGAACGACCACGGTAGAGAATAAGCATCGACGTGCCGCATCGTGCCATTGCTTGCAAACCCGCGTACAGGCCGACAGCGTCTCTTGACGTAGATCGTTTGCTAAGGACTGGTAGATGAGATACAATATTTCCGGAGGAATGTCGACCGTAGAGTCGATGGGCCGCGTGTTGGTGTTTGCCTGGTTTGCCTGGTGGGCATTCATATGAGTCAGGATGACCTTCGGTGCGACCTTCGATGCGAACTTGCCATGTGCGGTTCAGAGACGGTTGGGAGCCGTAGCGTGGTGATTGTGCCAGCGCGGATATGTAGCGCTTATAGCTGTCCTCGGGCCACTCGGCAATGACACAAGCACGCCTCTGATGGCAGTTTCACGGGCGGTTACAGCGCCTTGCATAAGTTCGTGAACGCGCGGATTTTTTTTTCTCTCCGGCGGCTACCCTACTCGACCCGCCTAAACAGGCCATATCACGGTCACAGGGACTACTCCATGACAGCGCATCACGGCCCCGTTGGTTGACCACACGCGTACCCAGGTAAATCCACAATGTTTTGAAGTATGGATATGCGTGCGGTACTTCCATGTCTGTATTTGAGTGCCCATTGGCCCCCCAGGGGATCCTGTACCCTGATCTAAACAGGAGGTACCATAGTCATCAGCAAAAGTGTATAAATCTTGTTGCAAATTGCATTCACGCGCGGGGGCAGGGAATACTAGAAATATAGCACCTGAACTAACGTATATTGGGCGCACCTTGTCACGATTCCATGCTAGCGCAAGAAACCCGGACCGCCCGCACGACCCCGCAATACCTGAAAATACCTGGCAATCCTGCCGTGATCTCCTGGGGATTGCCTGGTATTTTGGGTATGACGGTGGCTTGCGATGACGGCAATGACGTGCCGCATTTAGATTTGTGGCCTGGTATTGTGGATATGGCACGAGGGGGGAATTGCTAAAATGCCGGGCTGTACCGCGCAACAAGGGGCGCATGTTGTGAGCTATGGGCGAAATTGTCTCGCATTTCCGGTATCAGGTTCACTCAGGCTAGTATCGCAGGTACAACGAGACTGCAAATATATTTGGCGACAAGCCTGGTACAACGTGCTACTACAGGACATCTATATATGCTACATTGCACAAACATATGTATGGCTGCACACATGACGTGGGTAAGAGCCAGATGATCTCGTTTATCACGCTGTGCGGGGCGAGGATTTACGTTAGTAGGTAGGAGGGGGATGGGTGACAGGGGAGACGCACGCGAGGGAGTACAAATGAAGTCCTCGTATGTCTGAGCATGGGACAGATGGTGAGACGCAGCGAGCCAATAGCTACTGTGGCGCCAAGACGGAAGAGACGTACCTGCACCCGGTTTGCAGGGAGGACGGACTGGCGGTTCTGGCAGAACACTTCCTGCTCGTCTTGCTAGTGCGCCAGCAGGATGAACACGAAGGCGAGTTGTGTGCCATAGTCTGGTGGTACGTTACATGCATGAGTGCTCCATGTCCGATTGCGCATGCGTCCGCGCTGTCATACCTCATACCCAGCCACCGAGAAGAGGAAGACGTTCTCTACACAAAAAAGAGAGTGGTGATGTCTGTCAACATGCACATATGCATCAAGACGAGCGGTACTGTACCAGTCAGCACGCTATCCGACAGCTTCGCCATGCTGTCCGTCCCGTCCTCATTCACGTCGAGCAGGTTGCTCATTAGGTCAAAGCGCTCCTCCTTGACCTCCGCGGCCCGCCGTGCGGCCACCATCTCATGCAAGTACGCCTAAAGGTGTTGTTGCCCCTCAAAGCGGAAAGCGGCTATGCAACCTGAAGTGAGCCGACGCCGACTCGACTGCGCACATATATTATACAGCCATGTGCACGGATGGACGTACCATGAGCTCGTCATGCGCGGCCGCGAAGTGCAGCATGACGGGAGTGCCCTATCCGGGAACAGGACCTTCAGGACGAGGTGGTGCGAGACTTTGTACATCGCGTCCTGCGCGGGCAGCGTCAGGCTCACGTCTACACAAAAGCCCATATCCTGTGGTGTCCCCCGGGGAGACAGACACAGGAAGACAGACAGACCTTGAAAGTCAATGAATGTCCGAGGAGGACATCTTGGTTCTCGCTCCATGACATCCGGCGCCCGAATCCTGCAATACCGATGACCAGGAGTGTGAACTGGACGAGGATGGACGGTGACGGGCGAACCTGAGCTCAGTAGCGGCAAGGATGGGAGTAGCACTACAGCGCTGGACGGGACGGGACTCACTGGCACGGTGAGGTCCATGATGTTGTCGAGCTTGACGGCGTCCCTGTCACCCCACACGTTCTGGAACACGTTGTCGAGCACCTTGGCGGTCTCATCCCAGACGAGCATGGTGTTCTCCTGTGTAGCGAGTCAGTGCTTCCTATTCAGAATTGGGACACAGAATCAGCAAGAAGGTAGTGCATGAGGTGTACATACGATGGAGACACACCTGATAAGACAAGGAAGAGCCTGCAACGACGTCAAGGGAGTAGGAATACGCATATATGCGTGTATATTGGAAGTCATATACCGCACCTGTGTATTTACGTGATGACTGACATGGGGGAGATGGATCGATCGACAGTCTCTGGCTGGCAGCAGAATCGGTCTGGTGGCGGAGGGTATGGGGCGGGAAGAGGGGGCAGCTTGAAGTTTCTCAAAGAATGCGGATCTTTATATGTTGCAGTGTCGGAGTTCCTTCTGAGTTCAAGGCCTGTCAAAAGATGAGGAGGACACGGTAGAGCTCCTAGTGGGGCCAGTCCATCGCTGCTGAGGTGTCTATGTAGAAGAGAAACATGTTGGTCACGTGCCCGCTCATGGCGCGCATCATAATGATCACCGTGGTCCGTCTGTCTCATCCTGCTTCCTGGTCAATGGTCATCGCTCGCCCCCTCATAATTATTGCTAATACTGACATGTGCTAGGACTGACCGCCACACCCTGCAGCTTACTTGTGCGACCAGTCTGTCAAGCACCTCTAGCAACTCACGAAGAACAACGGGCTTAGCAGGGAGGAGGCCCTCAGGTCGCCAGTACTTCTACGGAGAGCGGAAATGGATCTGCAGCTGGCATTTACGGAGGACTGGTTCAAACAAGTACGTATACTTCGACTACTCTCGCACGCATATATACAGATCGAAGGGGGCTGGAGCATGCCACGCGCCTTACTCTTGACGCGTCACCTCGCGTGCCTCCCGTCCACTGAGCCTCTTTCTTTGCCATACTCAGTGTCGTTCCCTACATCTGCTTTACACCCTCTCTACACCGCTCAAGCAACACTATGCCGACGAAGGAGGAACTGCTGAATCAGGCACAATCAGTGTCCGACCCGAAGCGCGTTGAGGTCCTTCACAAGGAAATCCTAGGTGAGCTCTGACAGATCCATTGCATGCCGTCGGCTTGGGACCAACTACGCGATACCAACATCGTCAATCAGCGGTCATGCCTCTGTAGAGGAAAAGAGGGCTGAGCTCTGCCACTAGGAAACCGTCCTGGTGAAGCTCGGAGAGTTGTACCAGGACCAGAAGTGCGTACTTCCTTGTGGCTGAGGCTCTTGCTATCTGACACCAAATATTTGTGAAAGCAGGACGTCGATGAGGTCGTCACTCTGTCGTGCTTTCTTGTGTCCTCGCGGTGAAAATCGCTAAACTCAGTACGCCGCATTCTATTCTGTCCCAAAGGTCCTGCTATATAGTCCGAGCGCTCCTCGATTGCTTCAACTCCAAGTCCATTCCAGATAGCCAGAAGATTCAGATTGATATGTTGCAGGAGAACAATGAGTGGGCGAAGCGGGAGAAGCGGATAACCATTCAGGTAGCCTGGGTATCTCGTAACGTACTTCAGTGGCTGCTCTTAGCATTCTCAGCAGAAACTTTTGTTACCGTCTCTTGCATGCTTGGGCGCATTGGGAGATCTCTGGAGGTGGCTCGGCATCATCGAGCACTTTTTCCAGCGCAGTGGACCGATGCCGACAAGGTGCGGAAGTGGAAAAAATGTTGGCCCCGTCCGAGTCCTCGCTGATGCTAAGCTTGAGGCGACAACAGGTTGTGGCAATGCAACTACCTCCGCCGAAGTGTCTTGTGGATAGAGTAGTTACTGTACACCATTGAGCGACGACACATTGTCATACAATATGTGATGAAGACCGCGAGGTCATGCAATTCTGGTGCGCATCTCGCGCGGTATTGTGAGTATCGCGTAGACAGGCAACGATAGCCCCTATATCAGGCGCGCGCGCAGCCCCGCACCGTAACTGGCGCTTCAGGCCACACTGACAATCCTGGAGGGGATTTTTACACTTTTGCTGAAGGTAAAGGTGCAGTCGCATATACATGATCATGCCTGAGTCAGTGCAGTAGCTTCAACGTGTTCTCGACATGTTTCATCAACCATATGCATGTCTAACTCTCAAGCATTTAGGAGTGACTCGAGGCTGGCCACCCACAGCATCGCAAGTCATGTATTCATTGGCAAGGGCCCGTTTGATATGATCTCGTGCAGTGACTGTTGCCCTCATGCAAACTATCTCTGTGCACTGTGCACACTGTATGACTACAAGTACTTATGCGCAAGTTTACTGGGCCCATGGCATACTCACTCTTGGAAATGCCAGTGGCCCAGCGAGCGGGCTTAGCCGCAGGGGAGCTCTCACTACGGGCACCGCCTCGAATCGTTCTTTGTCAAAGGGCTTTAGAACCTCTGAGCAAGTACAACTTTCCCATTGCCGACCCTTCAGCATCCTTTGGCACGCGTCGGCAAAGGGACAAGTTACGACTTTCCCGAAAACAAACCTCCGTTTCACGCGAAGGGATCCCGAGCGCTGCCCGTCGTGTCTGGGCCTGTGACCATGATGAGGCCTGTTTAGGCAGGTCGGGTAGGTTAGACGCCGGAGAGAAAAAATCCCGCGCGTTCACGGACTTATGCAAGGCGCTGTAAGTATGTACTCGTCCCGCAGGCAGGTCAGTTTGCAGCATATGAGCGACTAACGCGTCTCGTGCCGTGCCAAGCACATAGTTGTACTTGCCATCCAGAATCTATGCTTGAGCAAGAACTGCTATGCATCAACGAAGAGGGCCACTGAGAGTGCCCATATCGTCTGCAGGCCGAATCGTTCGGTAGTTACAGCTGACGCTTGCTGATACGCTATCACAAACGCACCTTCGTACCGGTATGGCTCCGCGTTCGGAAAATCACTTGAATCTGCGGTTTCGGATATAGGAAGTGCCGTACGTATGATTGAGGGCAAACTGGTCATACGCAGCCGCATGGGAGCTGAAGGATACTTGAGTCTCGAAAGAACCAAAACTCAACGTTCTTAGCGGCAACATGCTAATCGCTTCCTTGTTTATCACGCCAGTAGATGCGGATAATATCCTCCTATTGAGAAATGGACATTACATGTGCGTCAAGCATCGTGGTGTCCGTACGCTTGTCACCTGTACGTCACAACCCGCGCAACGAAACTCGTTGGGGCCTTCGCGCGCACTAGTGATATAATATCAGACTTTTGTGTACCGCTACTCGCGTTTCTTGCACATTGTTTCAGTGGACTGTATGAACTATCCAAATGTTGCGAGTGTAAGGGGCTTGCGGGTGCAGCAGCACAAGCAAAAGTTCAAGGCGGCTAATCTGACATTACACATTGCCATAGCCACCCAACTTGGGCCCGTTAGTTGAACCACACGAGGGTGACGATAGGAGATATCTTACTGCAGCTGCACCGAGCCCGCGCTAGTAAGGTGCGCGCGAGCAATAACATGGCTCGAAGGAGGCTCGCGACCCCAACAAATTCAGCTCAAGGTGAACCAAAGGGAGTCTCCGACATTTCTAATGACAAAACTGCTCTTGTGGTGAAGTACACTGTGGTTTCGAGAGACACATAAATATGCAGATGCGCGCGGTGGTGCGGTCGCGCGCGACTTGGCGGCAATGGGGTGTGATGAACTGGTAGTAACATTGACAAATGCGCAGGCGGCTTGGGTGACGTGACTCAAAATACGGACGTACGAAATACGGGTGGCTACGAGATACGCTCAATTCTGACCGGGGCTATTCTGTCACTCAACACCTGCACACAATTTTGTAAGTCTCGCACTATGAGCCTAGTATGAGACCTGTGCACCTTCAAAGCACAATTAAGCATCATCAAGTCCTCCTGGAGGCTACTAGCACAGGATTTCGCACCGGCTCACAATCGGATTAGGTCTACCGAAGCTCTGTGCTGGCGTTGTCAGTGGTGTAGTCAGCCACGCTAATTACACTAGCTTTCCAGGCGACGAACCATGATCCGGAAGTGCTGACAATTGGGATTACCAAACCGCAACTTTTGAAACACCTGCGCCAAGCTGACCACATCGCATACAGTCCCCGTCCGGGCGAATATCTGCGCATACATCTAGGCAACCTACCAACAGAAATCAGTAAGTGACGTATTCTTATTCGCCGAAGCCCGCTTGACTAATGTGGAGGCCGCAAAGCTGTCGACAACGTCGGCATCCTCGAGTTCCAGGACCCAGGCCTGGAGGAGGGCGTGAACATGGACGTGAAGTTCCTCGAGGGGCACTCGCTCTTCTGCCAGGCACGAAGGTCACGGGGTGGGTGTATGAGGTCCAGAGGGGCAAGGTGCGTTCGTGGTTTGGACTACAACGCCTTGGGGCTGTTGTGTCTGCATCGCATGGTAGCGGGGCGGCTGCCGAGTGCGAGATCTATCACATCAATAGCCTCGACTATGGTAAGCCAGAGGGCTACGGATGATTTTCGAAAATCGCGACAACCGTTTTGCGCCTCAGCGCTATTGTTCTTCGGCCTTGATGGTACTATAAAGCACCTATTAAGCGGAGTTTAAACTAAGCTTTTGTGATTCAGCAAGCGAGCCTCCTTGACGCTGAACCTCTTCTCTCCACCGTCTCTCGCAAACTTCAAGACAATCCCTCGCTGGAACCACCCTCCCTCTGATCAGGGGCGGGTGGTAGCCTCATATGTTCTGTCTCTCGTCTCATAGCTTACACAGGCTGCCTGTATGTACATACCATTAATTAACCCATCCTGCTTTATTTCGGAACTACGCTCGCTTTGACCCTGTGTCCGGCGCGCATTGAGGGTGGCCTACTCAACCCCTTTGTGTCCGATGGTGCTGCTGCCACAGTCTTATTGCTTTTCTAGGCTTGGGCACAAGCGTGAAATTGCTTTACATGCCCTGAGCCACAGCAAATGTGATGTATAGATACCTTGAACGTGTGTGCCTTTCGTTTTGTAGATTCAATTCTTGCTTCACCATTGTAGCATGTCTGACGACACCCCCGACATAGCTTACTGCGAGGGTCTAGATGGCTGCGGAGGGTACTTCCCTCGCAAGACAACCTCCGGACTCTGTAGTCAGTGTAAACTGATCCAGCAATTCGAGGACCAGGGCAAACCAGATCGTGCCGCTGAAATCAAGGTCGGTGTAGCGCCACTCTTGATTAACCAATTGTCACTTTAATTCTGTTCTAGGCTTACCGTCAATGCAACGAGTGTGGTGCTGCAGGCAAAAATTTCAAGAATGACATTTGCGGTGTTTGCGCTCGGAGTCACGGTGAGGTTCACTACGATGTTTCGGTGATACTCGCATCGGTATTTATCCCATTTGCAGTAGCCACGAGCGACCGTGATGCTCTCAAGTCTCAAGCCTTGGAAGACATGGCTCGTGTCCGTGCCGCTGCAACACAGCACAGAGGTCTTGATGGTCACTACCGGCCACTCGCCCCTGCCATTCCTTGGCCTGACAAGCAAGCCATGCCACCACCACCACTTCCTACAGTTGAGCCGTCTCGTCCGTCCAATAATGGGTTGAATATCTCTATATCATTCAGGCCTCTAGTCTTGACTAAGAAGGATGGCAAGGTTCCATTCCTCGCCACATTAGTACGTACTCATCCTTCCGATACGGAAATGAATGGTCAGTTTTTTCGTTGCTCGGTGTAATATTGTGATGGCTCATAGGTATATATAGATGTTCTCCAAGATGTCCTCGACATGCTGAATGTACTGTGGGAGAAAAAGACGAGCAAGGGTCTTACTCTGTACGTTGCCTTGAGATCAACAGCAGTGGTTGGTTATTGACATGCTTGGGATTTAATTTAGGGCGGATGTTTCACTACGTTTCCCTGGCAATATTTTGCCTGAGGGTGACAGCGACAATGAGACTCTTGGTGACTTTTATGATAGGCATCATATCGCTGAGCACCGTAATGGGTACTTCGGAAAGGTGCCTCAAGAGCTCAAGAATATCAAGACACCGCTCATCAACGTGGTTCTCTTCATTGATATCACACATGTAAGCTCAATGATTCGTTCTCAGTTTGCTTGTATCTCTGATAGTATCCAGATAGTGGGAGAGACGTACTGGCTTACCTTCACCTACTCGCACTGAGAACATCTGGAAAAACAGCCTTTGCGAATTGACACTAATTATCACTATTCAGATAATCTCATCTATATTAGCAAGTGTTAGCAGAGATGACATCTACATTAGAGCTACTATTCAGACGCACTTCTTCAGTAGTGCAACTAAGCACTAATTAGTATACTTGGTACTAGTTATAACTACTCTTCACTATCGCTTTTTCTATAGTGCCATGTAGTGCCAACATGATACTACTATAGCACTACTGCAAATGTGGTCCTCTAATTTTCGCTATATTGCACTACTGTAGTACTATTTTGCGCTATTTTAGCACTACTCATTTAGGGGAGACTCAAATAAGATGACAATCCTTTATTTATAGCTCATAGTTCTCAACTCAAGCATTACACACCTCTATAGCTGCAAAATCACCATGATAGCTGACTTATATTTGAGGGCACAACTCAACATAGAACTTGTTATCATGTAT